GCAGTGGGGCCCCACGGTGCGCCGCCGTCTGTGGTCGCCGACTCCAGCTGCGACCTGGGTGGTGAGCAGACGCCTGCTGATTGGAAACGGGCTTTTTTCCTTCTCTTGGGAGAGTCGACGCTCACCGGGCCCGGGATGCTGCTCTGAGGCAAAATGGGAGCGGAGGATGCCAAAGGCTCCACTCCCTCCGGGCAGATGGAGCGCCTCTTATAGCAGGTTGAGCGTTCTTGAGATAAAACACGGTGTAAAAAGCATGTACTCTTTCCCACCTGTCCCACTCGGGGCCGTCTCTTGATGAGTGTGAGGTTGGGTGTTCAGCTGGAACGCATTTTTATTTATTTATTTATTTTTCAGTAGGCTTGAAGATCTGGTTGTCAGGGTCCTAGGTAAGGTGAGCCTTTCGACGTACATACGACTAGTGAATGGCCCTCAGGAAAATGGGGATGTTTTAATACTAGATGTATAATTCATTGCTGCTTTCAGAAAGGTTAGAAAATTCCTGCATGAAAATGCAGAAATTGTTGAACATGGTGTCCCGACCTGCAGGACGTCAACCTGGAGCAACCTGGAGCAAGAGAGTCAGGGATAGGGAATGGGGACAAGAGACGCAGAAAGAACGACCACAAGACAGGATTCTGATCAAGTGGCAAACTTTACTTTTTTCTCAGGCTAGCTTATATAGTCAGGAAATGGGGAGGGGCAGAATGGGTTGTCCACCAGGTGTTAGTGTAGGCAGGATATTAGGAAGCCACAAAGAGGATGTTTGGCTGGGTAAAGAGTTCATGAGTAAGAGGCCCAGGAAGGGTTGCCTAGGTGACTGAGCCTGTGGGTGGAGGACTAGGTCAGGTTGTTTCTTTTCTTGAGCTGAGGTTCTAAGGAGCTGCTATGTAAAGGTTAACTATGTGGCCTGCCAATCATGGCCTAGGATCTCATGCCCAGCCCTGAGATTTGGCTCCCAACAATATGGTTTTGAGCAGTTTTTTTTTTTTTTTTTTTTTTTTTTAAATTTTTTTTTTTTTTTTTTCCATCATTATCCTATATGAAGCTCGAGATGTTGAATAGATGCGCAGCAGAATGGAGACCCGAGTCACTGACTGACTGGGAAAGTGTTCGAACTTAAGCAGAAGCACATTTGTGAAGACAAAACGCGAAAGAGGGTAGAAAACATTTTATCTACAAAACATCTCCTTTAATTTCAGTCCAGCTTTTTCCAATAAGGTGAGAGGGTTTATTAATCCACCCCACTCCTGCGAACTGTCGTGTAGGCAATCAATGTACTAAACTATTTTACCTGAATGGGTGAGAGAGAAGACACCTTATTCATTTATCCATTCAAAATAATGAGTTTTCCAAAATACATTATTATTTTTTACATTACTCTCTCTCTTCAAAAATAGCTTATTTTATATACACTGGTGTTTTGCCTGCAAGTGTGTCTGTGTGGGGAGTCACATCCCCTGGAAGAGGGGTCACAGACAGTTGTGAGCTGCCATGTGGGTGCTGGGAATTGAACCTGGGTCCTCTTGAAGAGCAAACAGTGCTGTTAACCCCTGAGCCATCTCTCCAGCCCTACATTACTCTCTTGTACATAATACATGGGAATTACATTTGTAGCCCAGATATTAAGAAGGGCAATGAAAGAGACACTACAATGAAAAAGATGAAATGAAATATGAAGGAGAGGCAGAATTGGGAGACTCTGCAGAAAGATCTATAGCAGGACTAGAAATTCTAACACTGTTAGTTTCATTTTAATAATTAAAATAGTAAAATATCCTTTGCTGTGATTTTAAAAATACTAGTTTTACTCTGTGTGTGGGGGTGTTTGGGATCCTCTGAAACTGGAGTTACAGACTGGTGTGAGCTGCCATGTGGGTGCTGACAATAGCAGTAAAAAGCCCTGGAAAGAGCAATCAATACCCTTAAATTCTGAGCTATCGAAACAGCTGCATCATGATTTTTCTATTTTAGTTAGTTAACCCTAGAGCGACTGGCTCACAGTTGATGCAAGCTAAGGTTCACCCCCCCCAACCCATAGTTCCATGAGTTGAATTGTAAATGTCTTTTTATTTTTTATTTTTTTTTATTTTTTTGAGAGAATGTCTTAATATGTAGATCAGGCTGGCCTTGAACTCACTTGCCTCTGCCTTCCAAGGGTTAGAGGAATGGTAATTATATCCAGCCTCAAAATGTCATTTTGATCTGTGATTTTGACTTGTGAGTATGAGTATATTTAAATTTTACTGCCACTGTGAATGGAAAGAGATAAATACCCTGTAATACCACCTTTTAAGACAATATGGAAGATTGTAGTGGTAACATTTTATCAGATACCCAGGGCTTGTAAGGTGAATATTAAATTGTAACTCCTCATATTTAAGTTAATTAGAAAAGTATACCAAGCACTTTCACAGTTTCTTCTCTTCTTAAATTTTACTGCTGTGACTTATACACAAAATTTTGACTGATATCACAAAATCTTCAGGCATAATACATGAAATTTCTTTGTTTCTTTGTTAAGGAAATGGAGTATCCACACTACTATAATAAAGACGACAATGATGAAGAAAGTTTGCTTGAAAATGTTGCTTCATTAAGACATGAACTGAAAATAACAGAATGGAGTTTGCAGAATTTGGGGGAAGAGTTATCCAGGCAAGAAAAAAAACATCACATGTATAAATTAAATATTAATTTATAAATATAAAATGACTAGATCTTATAAGTTATGTTTAATATGCCTCTGGACTAAGATATAACTTTGTATACTTTTTAATACAATTCAGATTGTGAAATGGAAATATTAACAAACATTTACATAGTAAGAAGACATCTTGCTGGGCACTGGTGGTGAACACCTTTACTTCCAGAACTTGGGAGGCAGAAGGTGTTCTGAGTTCGAGGCCAGCCTGGTCTTCAGAGTGAGTTCCAGGATAGCCAGAGATACACAGAGAAATCCTGTTTTGAGAAACTAACCCCTTCCTCACAAAAAACTCTTTAATATATCAGGAATCTTTATTAATCTTTCATTATTGTAGCTGCCTTTTTTTTTTTTTTTTTTTTTTACTCCTAAGTAAAGAGATTCAGGAAATACAAGATTGCTGATATAAACTAATCATGATCTATGGAAAGTATACTGGAAACACAGTGTTATGTTCATAGCTATAGATCTCATTTCTGATTATTTTATGTGGAAATTTGTAGTAAAAAAAAAAAACAACAAACTATGTCAGACTGAAATGGAGTTTTTCTTTTCTCTGTAGTGTTAGTCCAAGTGAAAATTCCGATTCTGTCTGCAATCCTTCAAGGTCTGAAAGGCTTATTTTGGAAGAGCTTATTCAACCTAGCCGCCTGGGACATTTAAATTACCCACCTTATAAGAAAGTTTGTAAAACATCTGGTAGTACTGATTTTCAAAAGAAGCCAAGAGATAAGGTTATTATTTTTATACCTGACTATTTAAAATAGTTTTTCTTTACATGCCTTATTCATGTTTTCTGTAGTCTTTTGCTACAGTGTTTGAGATTGGAATATAATTGTTCTTTTTAAATATTATATGTATATGAGTGTTTTGCCAACAATTATGTCATGGAGTAAGAAGTGGGTGTTGTATCCCTTGAAACCAGATTATAGATGATAACTTCTAGTTGTGAACTTCTGTGTGGATTCTAGGAATTGAACCCAGGTCCTTGAGAAGAGCAACCAGTGTTTTTAATTGCTCAGCCATCTCCCCTGCTCCATAATTGTTCCTTTTATATCCTAACTTTTCATGCAATGAAAACTCCATAGTTAAGGGGAAAACTATGAATTTTTTCAATGTGTTATGGAGAAATTACCAGTTTATATTATTTAAATAGGAAAATATAAAATATGTTAGTTTTTGTATAAAAATAAAAGACAAGTGAGTAATTTGTTTATTTATTTATTTATTTATTTATTTATTTATTATGTATACAACATTCTGCTTCCATGTATATCTGCACACCAGAAGAGGGCACCAGATCTCATAATGGATGGTTGTGAGCCACCATGTGGTTGCTGGAAACTGAACTCAGGACCTCTGGAAGAGCAGTCAGTGCTCTTAACTTCTGAGCCATCTCTCCAGCCCGTGAGTAATTATTTATATACATCTGGAATCACTAGAAAACTAAATTATAAAGTTACAGTAAAAAGCTTGGCATGGCCGTGACTCATGTCTATAATCCTAGCACTTGGAAGACTGAGGTAGGAGAATTCTGTGAGTTCCAGGTCAGTGAGGCCTGAAACCTTGTATCAAAAACAAAAAGGCTTAGGATATAACTCAGTTGGTAGAGAGGTGCTTAGTAACCATGGGCCTTGGGTTTGATTTTGAGCATCTCATATATTGGGCATGATGACTTTGTCCAATAACCCTAACACTGGGGAGGTAGAGGCAGGAGGATTAGAAGTTCACAGTCATCCTTGCTTATGTAAGGAGTTTGAGGTCAGCCTTCATTAGAGAACCTTTCTCAAAAAAGTGAATGTTTAAAACAGCTACTAAAGATGGCACAGTGAGTTTTTGTATGCCTTTTCTTTTATGTAGCTTGACCTTGTAGTCTGTAGATAATACGTTTCTCAAAAATTTGAAAATAACAAAGTGTATTATAAGATATATTTAATAACATAAGTTAAAGAATATTTTGTTTCATTGTTGTATGTATTCCTTTCACATCCTCTTATACACAGGTTAGCTGTAAATTTCTTGAGGTGCAGAAATACAAAGATTTCTATCATATTTATACTCAAGAGTGATACTGTTGACTAACCAAATAATACACCAGTTTAATAAAGTGTAACACTCTTTTGCCGTTTATACTTAATTTGTATTACTACAAGTTGAAAAGAATGTTGTCTCACTTTTATCAATACTTACTAATACTCACTAATGCTCATTTTCCTGAGCTGTTCAATAATTTTAATGGCAATAATTATATATAAACATCAAATAATTTAATGTACATTGTTCTTTTCTTTATTTTCAGATGTCTTTTTCATCTGCTTCTATGGATCAAGAGATTAAAAGGCTTCGAGATAAACTTAATAAACTTAGGCAACAGAATGCTTGTTTGGTCACACAGAATCATTCTTTAATGACTAAAATAGAATCTATCCACTTTGAATTGACACAGTCAAAAGCAAAAGTATGTCTGTTGGCATGTTAAGAGAATATTTGTAATATTTTATGGTTTTATAGTTGGAAAATAATTATATTGCCTATATAGTAGGTAGAAAAATTCTATATGCTACTTGAATATTGAGAAGGAATAAAGTTATTATTATATCTGAAGATAATTTTTCATTTTTCATTTTTTCATTTAGATAAGTCAACTTTTTTAAGGTATGAGTGCTGTCTTCATGTATTTCTACATGCCAGAAGCAGGCATTAGATCCCATTACAGATGGTTGTGAGCCACCATGTGGTTGCTGGAAATTGAACTCAGGGAGAACAGCCTGTGCTCTTAGCCACTGAGCCATCTGTCAAGTCAAATCAACTTCTTAAAATTGTTAGGAACTTAGAAAATAGAAAAATAAGGGACTTGAGAGATGGCTTAGTGGTTAAAGATAATTTGTTCTAATTCTCTTTTCTGAGGACACCAGGCATATACATGGTGGACAGGTATACAGACAGGCAAATCACCCACAGACAGGCAAATAAAATAAATCTTAAAAGAAGAAAAATCATTCTGAATTTGTATCATTTAGAAACCCCCTTATTGTGTTATTGTGTAGATGTATTCATACTATTTTGGATAGTTTATTTCTTTTAATTTAAATTAAATTTAATTTCTTTTGTGTGTGGGTATGTTGCCTGCATGTATGTATGTCTCTGTATCATGTGCAGCTGGTGCCCGTGGAGGCCAGAAAAGGGTGCTGGATTTCTGGGTCTGGAGTGGGGGTGATTAGGCACTGTGTGGTGCCGGGGCTTGAACTGGCTCCTCTGAAAGAGTAGCCAGTGCTCTTAGCTGCTGAGCCAGCCTCCCACTGCTAGCTTTTACTTCATATATTCTTAGGCATTTTTTGGTTCTTTTTTTGTTTGTTTGTTTTTTGAGACAGGGTTTCTCTGTGTACTTTGGAGCCTATCCTGGCACTTGCTCTGGAGACTAGGCTGGCCTTGAACTCACAAAGATCCATCTGCCTCTGCCTCCCCGAGTGCTGGGATTAAAGGTGTGCGCCACCAGCTCCCGGCCTCATTTTTTGGTTTTTGTTTTGTTTTTTTGTTTTTGTTTTTGTTTTTCGAGACAGGGTTTCCCTGTGGCTTTGGAGGCTGTCCTGGAACTAGCTGTTGTAGACCAGGTTGACCTCAAACTCCCAGAGATCTGCCTGTCTCTGCCTCCCGAGTGCTGGGATTAAAGGCGCCCGGCCCATTTTTTTGGTTCTTTTACATGGCTTTTCCACTTACTTATTTCTTGTTAGCAGTTTATTTAATATGATGCCATAACTCAGTTTCTTATCGAAATTATTTTATTGCATTTTTTACTGTATTATTAGTATGAAATATGAACTAATTAGCTGATTGTGGTGTCATCTCTCCTTTTAATAAAACACCCTAAAATGGAAGAATTCAAGATGTCCAGTCACAGAGAGATGGTAATGTAAACTGGTATGCCCATAAAATAGATTGCAACAAAACCTTTCCTTTTTTAAAGAATAAAGTATTGGGCTGAAAGGTTGCTTAGTGGTTAAGGACACTTGTTACTCTTACAGAGAACCTATGTTTAATTCCCAGCATCTTCATGGGCTCTAACACAGTCTGTAATTCCACTCTCAGAGAATCTGGTGCCGCCTCCTTGCCTTCATGGGCACTCAGCACATGTGCACAGACATTGGATTTAGCAAAACACGAACACACATGAGATTTTCTTTTTAAGAAGAAAAGTAAGCCAGGTGGTGCTGCACTCCTTTGATCCCAGTACTTGGGGCAGAGGCAGGCAGATCTCTTGAGTTTGAGGCCACCCTGGTCTACAGAGTGAGTTCCAGGACAGCCAGGGCTACACAGAGAAACTCTGTCTCATAAAAACAAAGAATAAAAAAAATTGCCCTCCCCCAAGAAGGTAAATACATCAGGACTAAGATGCAGAGTTGCTTGATTTACATGAAAGACTGGGGTTATACATTATGTTTACAGTATGTGGGAGTTGAAGGGAAAAAATCAGATATTCGAAATCATTCTGTCAGTCTCAAAGCCAGCCTATGCTATATGTTATCTACTAGTTTTAGTGGTAGAAAAGCACTGAGAATCTGGTTGCAAAAGCTCACATCTGTGATCACAGCACTGAGACATGAGGGTCCACCATTAGTTTCCAGGTAGTTCGAGATCAGCTGTGGCCAGTTTCAAAGACCCAAAACTGCCACCAAAAATGATTATGGATCTATACATATATAAAGGTCTCAGTGTTCTTTTATTTTGATTATTGACTAATTCAAGAATTATCAATAGTCCACCATGTATATTTTGTATTCCTTGCCTGTTTTAGTGGTTTCACTATATCTTTCTGGCTGTAGTGTTTCTGTGCTTTTCTGAGTTATCTAAGTTTTCTCTATTAAGCATGCTTCCTAAAATCATTTTTTTGTTGTTGTAGTTTAGTTTTTTGTTTGTTTGTTTGTTTGTTTTGTTTTTTTTTCGAGACAGGGTTTCTCTCTGTAGTCCTAGCTGTCCTCCTGGCTGTCCTGGAACTTACTCTGTAGACCAGGCTGGCCTCAAACTTACAGAGGTTTACCTGCCTCAGAGTCTGTTTACCCCCACCTTCCCAGTGCTAGGATTAAGGGCATTTGCCACCACTGCCCAGATCCTAAAATTAGTTTTAAGTCATAAAAATTCAATATATATTTCTTAACTAATTTTTCACTTTGATCACACACACACACACACACACACACACACACACACACACACACAGAGTCCTAATGTGAAATTAACCTTCCTACACGGTGTCAGGAGGTATTGTTTGTTTCTCTCAAGTATACTGAGATATTTGAGGTCAGTGGTAGGTCATATGCTGAGTCTGTCTTGCAATGATGGTATGTACCTACAAAAGGTGATGAAAGGAACAGTTAAGCCTGGCTTTATGTTCAGTTAGGGACTGAAAAGTCCTGAACTGTCTCATCTGACAAGGAAAGACTAAAATCCAAATAGATTGATTTGCTTCCTGAAACATAGTCCCAAAAAAGTTGTTTTTATGTTTTAGATGTCTATGCTTCAGTCTGCACAAGAGCAGGTAGCCAACATCCCAATCTTAGAAGAACAGATTATAAATTTGGAAGCAGAAGTTTCAGCTCAAGATAAAGTGTTAAGGTAAATACACTGTGTAGCTTGAAAGTTTTTATTTTGTATTTCTATTTGTTGTATCTTATTAAGTATTATTTCTTACTCCTGTACCAGTAGATCTTTAGTGTAGCAATGGTCTTTCTGCCAAGCCGCCTGAGTCCTGCTGCCATGTGGGCGCTTTCCACCAGGCCGCCCAAGTTCTGCCCCCGCTGCCACGTTAAGGTCCCAAGTAACACACAGAGACTTACATTAGGTACAAATGCTGCTTGGCCAATGACTAGGATTTCTCATCTGCTAGCTCAGTCTTAATTATCATAAATCTATATATTTTATAAGATTTATCGGATGCCAGTGGCAAGCGTCCTGTCTTCCCCGGGCTCGCATGGTGACTCTGCCCTTTCTCCTACATTTCCCAGAATCCTCCTTGACTCCTAGTCCCACCTCTCTTGTTTTCCTATTGGCCAACAGTACTTTATCAACAATAAGACAATCATATACACAGAAGGACCTCCCCCATCACTTTAGTGAACTAGTAAGGTCTTAAGACATTATTAAATTCATTTCAGTCAGTTATAGCTTCTCATAGCTGTAGTTTACATTCAGGTACAGTAATTAAAGATGGATTATTTTAAGCTGAGGTCCTTATTTGCACTTCCTTCCTTCCTTCCTTCCTTCCTTCCTTCCTTCCTTCCTTCCTTCCTTCCTTCTTTCTTTTTTAAGACAGGGTTTCTCTGTGCAGCTTTGGAGCCTGTCCTGGTCACTCTGCAGACCAGGCTGGCATAGAACTCACAGAGATCCTCTTCCGTGTGTGTGTGTGTGTGTTTGTGTGTGTGTGTGTGTGTGTGTGTGTGTGTGTGTTTGATATATTTTGCTGTTATTTTTTTTATTTTATTTATTTTTTTTTTTTTTGAGACAGGGTTTCACTGTAGCCCTGGTTGTCCTGGAACTCGCTCTGTAGACCAAACTGGCCTCACTGAGATACACCTGCCTCTGAGTGCTGGGATTAAAGGCATGCACCACTGCCCAACCTTTTTTTATTTTTTTGAGCCTGTCCTGGAACTCTTTCTCTGTAAACCAGGCTGACCTTGAACTCAAAGATCCTCTTACCTCTTTCTCCAGAGTTCTGAGATTAAAGGCATGGACCACCATGCCCCGCTAAATTTTAGTAAGAATCATAGGTAATTCTGATGTATGTTAAAAATGTCTTATCAGTTTTAGAACTTTCTTTGTAATACATACATTAAATTTAATGTATTTTTGGTTTTGTGATTTTTTTCTGATCAGCTTTTTTATTAATTCTTTGAGAATTTCATACAATGTATTTTGTTCATATTCAACCCCCTCCCAGCTCTTCTCTGATTCACCCTTAAAACCCTGTGCATGCAACTTTGTGTGTGTGCAGGAGCTTGCTAAGTCACTTGCTCACCCTCTTTTTGTGTTGGCCAAGTCTCTTAGGCATTGGGCCTGTCTTGAAATGTGGTTGATATACCAGAGTTTACATCACTGTCAGATGCTAATAGCTCCTCAGGATGGGTGGGATTTTGTAGCTACCTTCTTTTCCATTCTGGAATTTCATCTGGTTTGAGCTTATAGAGGTCTTGTGTATGCTCTCATAGTTGTTGTAAAAATGTATCTTCCCTGTTATTTCCAGAGTACACTGCCTTGCCTAAAGTCACACACTCTTAAAATCTTAAAATCTTTCCGTTTTCTCTTCCATGAAGATATCTGAGACTAGATGTCCCATTTAAGGCTAAACACTCCACAGCCTTTTATTCTCTCCATATTAACCAGTTGTGGATCTCTGTGTTTATTGCCACTACTGTAAAAAGCTTCTCTGATAGGGGTTGATCCATGCACTGTTGAGTATAACAACCCATTAGGACTTGTTTTCATGCAATGCCCCTTTAGAGGAATAATATTTGTAGATTCTTCTCTAGGCCTTATGATCACTTTTAGCCACAAGTTCTTAGCCTTGTTGACAGTGCCAGGTGTGGGTTCTATCTCATGGAGCGTGTCTTAAGTCCATGGACAAAGTGCTTGGTTACTTCCATAGCATTTGTGCTGCTGTTGCAACAGTGGACATATCGTTAGAAGCAGGTCATGATTGTAGTTGGAAGTGTTCAGCTTGATGAGATTCACAATAGCTTTTTCTTCTTCAGCAAGAACACTTGAGCACTATGAAAGCTATCCAGTAGGGATAAACTTCCAGTTGAGTACTAGCTAAATTTCTCCATGTTCTATGACCCAAGTATGTAGCATCTTCAGCAGTAGGATCTTACCATCCAATTCTGAAGGGTAACTAAGAGCCATGGCAATAGACTGTAATTTTTGGGGTTCCATGGGCCAATTGGCCAATAACTCAAAAAAGGGTAACCTGTTACTGGTATGGGGGAACTGGTACCTTTTATTTTTCTTTTGGGTAAAGTGTGGCGTCTGCTTAGGGAGCTCCTCTCCCCCCCATTATAGGATAACTCCATTTAAACTTTTGTATATGTGTATATTTTAGGGAGCTTCTACAGTAGTAGGTCTCCATATGGCTTTTTCAAAAGACCTCTAGTTTTAGGTATTCCTCCCTCCCCCTATTTTCTTTACCCTGCCTTCCCATCTCCCATACCATTTAATCCTTCCTGATTTTTACACTTTTCCCTTTTATAACATTTTATTTCCTGTATGCTCTTACTAGTTACCTAATCTCCATAGGTTTGAGAGACCAGGTCTTGCTATGTTGTTCAGGTTGGACCTGAACCCCTGGGCCCAAGTCATCCTCATGCCTCAGTGTCCTAAGTGGTTGGACAAAAGGCATACATCACTGTATCTGGCTTGATTTTTATATCACATATAATAGTTATTTTTAATTGGGTATTTCTTTTTTTAAAATGTTTTTATTACATTTATTTCTTCATCGGGGTTGGGCAGTGGTGTGATCATGCCATGGCACACATGCAAAGTTAGGGAAATCTATTGGAGTTACTTTACTCATAACCTGTGGGTTCCAGGGATTGAACTCAAGTCATCAGCCTTAGTGGTAAGCACCTTTACCTCTTAGCAATCTCGCTGCCATTTGTTTGTATGTTAAGGTAGGGTTTCATTGTGTAGACCAGGCTTGCCTCGAATTTACAGAGATCTGCCTGTCTCTGCCTCCTGGATGCTGGTATTAAAGAAATAGCCCAGCTATTTCTTGTACTCATATTTATTCTAATTATTTTATGTGTGTGTGTATTTTACATGTAAGTCTGTGCACCATGTGCATGCCTCTTGCTCATGGAGGCCAGAAGTGTGTGTCAGATTCCCTGTACCTGGAATTATAGGTGCTGTTATAGGTGCTGGGAATCAAACTTTGATCCCCTTTAAAAGCAGCAAGTATTCTTGTTATTCTAGTAATTTTTCATTTTGATTGTTCTCAGTATTCTGGGTAACTGAATGATAATTATCAACAAATAACAAAAAATTTCCAGCTTAGGATTTGTACTTTTTCCTACTTTTCCATTTTTGTGTTTTTCATTGGGTAGAAAAGTCAAAGATATCTTTGATTGTAAAAATGACAACAACTGAAGTATATACTAGGCTTCTAGTTGGTATGAAATACGTTTGTTTTTTTTTTGAAGACTGTAGCTAAGGATGAGTTTGAGTTCCTGATCCTTTGCTCTTGAATGCTATGAATAGAAGTGTGTGCTACCACACTCAGTCATCGAATGTGAAATATGATGTGAGATTTACTTTAGATGGGTTTCTCATTTAATGAAAGTAAAGTATTGATAACTTATGAATATGCCTTTCTCATTGTATATTTGTCTTTTTAACTCAGTGATTTAAAATAATTGAATTCCTACTATTGATTTATTCTTGTATTTCTCCATTTCTTAAAATTTATTCTCTATTTATAGAGAAGCAGAAGAAAAATTAGAACAGAGTCAGAAAATGGTGATTGAAAAGGAACGTAGTTTGCAAGAGGCCAAAGAAGAATGTATAAGATTGAAGGTGGACTTACTTGAACAAAGTAAACAAGGAAAAAGGTATGTGAGATTTTCTTATTTGCTTTGTAGTACTGAGAATTGAACCTCTGTGTGTTATACCACTGAGCCAAATCTCTTTTAAAGCAAATAACTTATTTTCGAGATAGGCTATTGTCATGTAATCTTGGCTGGCTTAGACTTTACCAGTGTAGCCCAGGCTGACCTCCAATTTGCTGTAGTCCCTTTGCCTCATTTTCTTTTATTTTCTTCCTTCCTTCCTTCCTTCCTTCCTTCCTTCCTTCCTTCCTTCTTCCTTCCTTCCTTCCTTTCTTTTCCCCCTTTGGTTTTTTGAGACAGAGTGTCTCTGTGGCTTTGGAGGCTGTCCTGGAACTCACTCTGTAGACCATGCTAGTCTCGAACTCACAGAGATCTGCCTGCCTCTGCCCCCTGAGTGCTGGGATTAAAGGTGTGCACCACCAACGCTCGGCAACTGCATTCCATAGGTTTATCATTTCTTTTAAAACTTTAGAGCTGAACGACAAAGGAATGAAGCACTGTACAATGCTGAAGAGCTGAGCAAAGCTTTCCAGCAGTATAAGGAAAAAGTGGCTGAAAAAATGGAAAAGGTAAGAGAAGTGGTGTTCAAACTCAGTGGTGTTCAACACTTTTATTGTTGTCCATATCGAAAAGTAGATAATACATAGAATGTTTTTGCCTATGGAATAGTAATTTTTCAATGGTTATTTTAAGATATATATATATATATATATATATATATATATATATATAGTTTTTTGTCTGCATACTACATGTGTGCTTTCTAGAAGAGGGTGTCAAAGTCAAAGCTTCTGGCACTGGAGTTAACAGACGGTTGCAAGCCATCATGTGGGTGCTGGGAATTGAGCTTGTAAGAACAGTAAGTGCTCTTAAGCCCTGAGCCATCACTAATAATTTTAAAGATTTTATTTTATTGGAAGTATTTTAAAATTTCCCAAGTTAGATTTCTGAAACACTTGTACTGAAGGGAAGTTCTCTCTCCCCTTCTCCTTCCCCAGGGTTTCTCTGTGTAGCCTTAGCTGTCCTGGAACTAGCTCACCAGGCTGGACTGGAACTCAGAGATCTGCTTGCCTGGCCTGCATTACCCACTCAGCCTAAAGGCAGTTCTTAATTACTTGGATGTATAATTGCTGTTTGAATTGCTTGCTTTGTTCATGTTTGGCCTGAGCATTTTGCCTACAGGTGACATTGTTCTTTCTAGTCTGTTATTGGCACTTAAGGATTTCTGAATAAGTAGTAACATCCTCCTCCTTATCTTTTGTGTTATATTTTTCTTTTCACTGTAGGTCCAGGGACTTAAATATATGAAATGTTTAACCTATTCCTGTTTCTTTTTCCTTCCTCCCTCCCTCCCTTCCTTCCTTCCTCCCTCCCTTCCTTTTTTTTTTTATTTATTTTTTTTTTGTGGACCAGGCTGGCCTGGAACTCACAGAGATCCTCTTGCCGTTTTTTTCTAAAATTACTATTCATAGTTTTAGCTTGAAACAATGTAAAACTTGTGATTATATTAGTATATTCACTTAAAACAAATTTTTGCTTTAGGTTCAAGCTGAAGAAGAAATATTAGAGAAAAATCTTAATAACTGTGAAAAAGAAAACAAAAGACTTCAAGAAAAGTGTAATCTGTATAAAAGTGAACTTGAAATTTTGAAAGAGAAATTCAGGTACATTATTCTGAATTTTTTTTGTTTTGTTTTTTTGAGACAGGGTTTCTCTGTATTGCTTTGGAGGCTGTCCTGGAACTCAGTCTGTAGACCAACCAGGCTGTCCCTGGTTGGTCTACTCACAGAGACCCACCTACCTCTGCTTCCTGAGTGCTGGGATTAAAGGTGTGTGCCATCACTGCCCAGCTATAAAATAATTTTTATACTTAGACATTTCTTTTATGACATTGCCTCTACCTATCAATACTGAAGACCAAATCCATGATCTTGCAGACGTGATGCACATAATCCACCACTGTCTATGTTCTATTAATTAGATTTACATTTTCACTAAATTAGATTTCATATACAGGTAGGCATATATACACACAATATTTCTGAGTACTCTCTTCCACCAGTCTCTCGTCCCCCGTCACTTCTTTCAGTATCACTCCCAAGTGCCATTCTCCTGTTCATGTCTTCTTGTTCTGTGTACAGCTGGGTTTAACCAGGGCTGCCTCTGTGTCTGTGTGTTTGGTACTATCTAATAGAGCCTGGTGGGCTTGAGGGTGAGTGTACAGCTGACGACAATGACTCCCCTCTCTTTACAGATCCGTCAGTAGTCAGTAGTTCATCGGGGAAGGGTAAGGCCCCTCCCTGTTTCTCTTTTAGCAGACCCAGTCATACACAGGCATAGTGTAGGCAGTGGCACAGGCTGTGAATCGTGATCATAGTGGTGTCTCCTGTCCAGAAGAGAGTGTTCTGAAGCCCTCTGTGTTTTCTCTGTTTCACATGGTGTTGCCTGTGAGTTGGTTATACATGTCCTTTACTGTGTTGAGGTATGTTTCCTCTGTCCCTGTTCTCTCCAGGAATTTTCCTATGAAGAGATGTTGGATTTTTGCCAAAGGTGTTTTCTGTATCTGTTGAGATGATCATTGATTTCTGTCTCTGTCCATTTGTATGACTTATGATATTTGTGTATATTAAACCTCCTCTGCATGTCTGGAATAAAGCCAACCTGGTCATCTCTAATTTTATTAATTTGGATCTTTTCTTTCTTTGGTTAATTTGCTTAATTTTGGTTAAAATTTGGTTAATTTTAATTTGACTTACAGTTTTCTAATCTTTTTGGCTTTTCCTTTTAGAAATTTTTATTTTTATTTGTGTGTGTGTGTGTTTTAAGTGTGTGTGCAGGTATGTGTAGTGGCTCTCAGAAACCAGAAGGTGACATTTAAACCTCCCTCCCCACCCCCACCAGGTGGAGTTATAGGCATTTGTGAGCCACTTGACATGGGTGCTGAGATCTGAACTTCAGTCCCCATGTGAGGAGCAACAAATGCTTTTAATGATTTCATTAATTTATACCTCCTTTTTTTTTTTTTTTTTTTCAGAATAAGGTTTCTTTGTGTAACAGCCCTGGCTGTCCTAGAACTTGCTCTGTAGAACAGGCTGGCCTTAACCTCACAGAGATCTCCCTGTCTCTGCCTCCTGAGAGCTGGGATTAAAGGCATGTATCACCCCACCTGGTAATTTCTGCCTAGTTTTAATTATTTCTTCCTATCTTCTTTTTAAGTTTGGTTTGTTCTTTCAGATTGTATTTGTTCTTTTGTTTTTTGTTTTCAAAACAGGGTTCTTTATATATCCCTGGCTCATACTGGAACTCACTCTGTAGATCAGGCTGGTCTTAGATCCACCTGTTTCTGCTTCCTGAGTGTGAGAATTAAAGATGTACACCACCATGCCCAGCGTAAATATTTTCTTTTATAATCTGTTCTCAGAGAAAATTCAGCCAAGAGAGAGAGAGTTTAATCAGAAGATAACTTAGTAAAGCTAAGTAAAATATACACACCAAAGAGAGATTGGAGGGGGTTGTGTTGAGGGAGCAGGATAACAGCCTTGGTTCTATGTTTGGATACTTACAGATAGTTATGAAGTAGATGGCATATTCATGGGGTATGGCAACGTTTTCTGCTCTCCCAGAGCTTGGTGAACCAGATCTTCCTCTTGAAAGTCCACAAAGATGAGAGGGGTGGGTGTCAAAACAGTCATGTAAATGGCATAATGATATCTGATCCTTGGAGTACATGGTGCTTTGTTAGTGTGCATGTGTGGCAGTTGAGTTTCGCCTATTGTTTTTGTTTTTGTTTTTGTTGTTGTTGTTTTTTTTTTGGTGTGTGTGTGTGTGTGTGTGTGTGTGTGTTGTGCCCTTGGTACAGAGTTTGAGTGTATAAATTTGATTATTGAAAATATATGCTCATTTTATTTTCATTTTAATGCTGTTTTCTTTATAGGCAGTTAAAAGAAGAGCATAGCAGTGGAAAAGAAAAATTAAGAATTATGGCAATGAAAAATTCAGAAGTTATGTCACAGTTAACTGAGTCTAGACAAAGTATCCTGAAGCTAGAGAGTGAGTTAGAGGACAAAGATGAAATATTGCGAGAAAAATTTTCTTTAATAAATGAAAACCGAGAATTGAAGGTTCGTGTTGCAACACAGAATGAACGACTGGACTTGTGTCAGCAGGAAATTGATAGTTCAAGGTTGGAACTAAGAAGCTTAGAAAAACTGATGTCCCAGATGCCAGTAAGTGTAAGTGAAGAGAAATGCAGTGTACTGACTGTGCAGTGGAAAGGAAGCTTGCTGTTGTGCAGACCATCGCTTTGGGTTTCTGTTTCACCTGTTTCTCCTGTTTGTCCAGTCTTTTTTAAGTACTAATTGGTGAACATATGGGCTATTTCTGCTTTTAGTCTATATGAATAGTGCTTCTGTGAATGTTGTCATACAAGTCTTTTTGTTGACATGTTTCAATTTTTTTTGGATAGATACCTAAGAGTAAAATTTCTGGGAAATACAGTAAATTTCTGTCAAAATGTTTTCTAAAACTACACGTTTAGAACTCTTCTAGCATTAATTCTTGTTTTCCAGCATCCTTGTTGACATTTGTTGTGTCTCTCTATATCCATCTTAGTTTGTGAGAGCTAGTCTTTCAGTACAGTTTTAATTTTTATTTTTTTCTGATGTCAATGATATTAGAAAGGTGAATATACATGAGTCAGAAATGTGACATTGACAGTTGTGAAATAAAGGAAAGCATGAGAAACGTATGTCATGGTTTGTTTCACTTAAGAATGGATGGGACTGCATGGCAGATTCTTACCAGTTTTAAAGTATTGTCAGCCATGGAACTATGAAGCTGAAAGTAACTTGGAAATAATCAGTTTTGATAGTGTCATTTCACTATTGAAGAAATGTGGTTGCAGAGAAATACTAGCCTAACGAGCAGTTAGCAGGAGCAGGCTCTAAGTTCCTCGCCTTTGCTTTGTCAGCTTTACTTAGATGTTATTCAGTATACAGCTTGTTTCCTTTTAAGATTGAAATGTGGCCGGGCATTGGTGGCATACACCTTTTATCTCAGCGCTTGGGAGGCAGAGGCAGGCGGATCTCTGAGTTCAAGGTGAGCCTGGTCTCCAAAGCGAGTGCCAGGATAGGCTCCAAAGCTACACAGAGAAACCCTGTCTCGAAAACCCAAAACCAAACCAAAACAAAACAAAAAGATTGAAATGTAATATGCATATATATATTCATTTTAATATACTCATTTTAAATTGAAATCTATATTTGTGCTCAGTGTCAAGAGTGGTTTCACATATGATTTTAAAGGTGACTATAATATATGTTTACTCCTTTGTTTCATAAAGTACTAAGTCTGACTTGGATATATGAAATTTTTTATTTTTAGAAAATGTGACTTGGTTATAGTTACAAGTTTTTAGTCATTGAGTGATTTGCTGTTTGTCATGACTACTTTTTAAAGTCCTGTATTATTTTGAAATTCATGTGTATCCTTTCTGTCATTATTTCAAATATTGCTACATATAAATAAATTCATCTAGAAAGACTTTGCTTAATGAGTTTTTGAAAACACTTTATTTAAGTACTATAATTCATTTTAATTATTATGTTTCAAAATGTATTCATACTGATTTATATAACTCAAACATGCTTATACATTGTATTTATAGATACCAGATTGTTTCCATTAAATTCATAGGTTTTTTATTTTTATTTTTATTTCTTTTGGTTCTTTGAGGCAGGGTTTCTTTGTAGCTTTGGAGGCTGTCCTGGAACTAGCTCTTGTAGACCAGGCTGGTCTCAAACTCACAGAGATCTGCCTGCCTCTGCCTCCTAAGTGCTGGGATTAAGGCGTGTGACGCATACCCTGGCAAAATTCATAGTTTTTTTTTTTTTTTTTTTTTTTTTTTGGTTTTTCGAGACAAGCTTTCTCTATGGCTTTGCAGGCTATCCTGGAACTAGCTCTTGTAAACCAGGCTGGTCTCAAACTCAGGAGATCCACCTGCATCTGCCTCCTGAGTGCTGGGATTAAAGGTGTGCGCCACCAATGCCCGGCAAATTCATAGTTTTTAACCTGAGTGTTCTATGTAAGAAAACAGTTGTATCTTAAAGCTATTATAAGCTTATAAATGTTTGTTTTTACATTTGCAGTTAAAAAGAGAAATAGTTGGCTTTAAGTCATCTTTTTCTAAGCACATGACGAATAGTTTTTCTATTAAGGAGGACAATCGCATTGGCTGCTGTGAGGCAAATAAATCGATGATTTCAGAATTGAGGTAAGCTTTTGAGTTTCTAAAGTTACAGTAAATAGAATGTTTTGTTGGTCCTTATAAAATACTAATTTCCCGTTAAAATTGATTTTTTTAACTTTTTTGTGTTTGTTTCAAATCTATTCTTCTTAATAAAATTAAACATTAAAAGATGGATATCCTTTGACCCTTTGCCAGTCCCATCGTCCCTCCCTACTTTCCAATATAACCTTCATTATCAATTAGAATGTATATTCTTCTATGCATATTGTAAATGTTTACATTCTCACACAGGCATAAATATGTATACTAATGTTTATATTTGCTGTTTTTATGTAACATCAGGGCTGGAGAGAGATGGTTTAGTGAGTAAGAGAATGTACTGTTGTTGTAGAGGACATTAGACGCATACATGCTAAAAATAAGATAAGTCTTAAAAATCGTCCTTGTTGAGATAGAGTAGTTGGTCAAAGGATAGGTTTGTTTGGATACTTTAATAGTTGTAGGAATTCCAAAGAATCAACAAAGAATTATGATTTAAAAAAATAGTTGTAGGAATGTTTCCTAGAACTATGTCACAATTAATTTACCCATTCTCTGATAGTTACCTAGTTTTCAGATTTTCTTCTATTATAAACAGAGCTTATAGGTTGTAGAGTATTTATATTTTCAATTTAAAAAATAAATCATGTTTGAAAAGTGGCCAAGGCAGTTTGCTGTCCAACTAGTAGTTTGTGAGAACTCCATTTCCTAGCTAGGTGTGTGTATCCTTTGATTCAAACACTCAGGATGCAGAGGCAGGTGGACCTCTAAGTTTTTGGCCAGTCTGGTCTACACAGTGAGTTTCAGGACAGCCAGAACTATGTGGTGAGACCCTGTTTCAAAAGACAAAAAAATAAACCAACCAAACAAGAATTTCTGTGTCCTGCATAAGGATTGACTGTTACCAGAGTCCTAAAGTTTTTACTCATTTTATTAGTTTCTCTGTCTCTGTCTCTCTCTCCCTCTCTCTGTCTCTCTGTCTCTCCCTCTCTCTCTCTGTCTCTGTCTCTCCCTCTCTCTACTTTAAAATAGAATCTTAGTAATAATGTTAGTCTGGCTTTTTTTTTTTTTGTGCTAGGATTAAGCTTGCAATAAAAGAGGCTGAAATTCAGAAGCTTCATGCAAACCTGACTGTGAGCCAGTTATCTCATAATGCTGCTGCTTATGTTCAGGAAGGTGGCAAAACAAGTGTTTTAGAAACAGAACCTGTAAAACTAGGTGGTGGTCAAGCTGGTGAGTATATTATGTTGAATTCCTTTAACAAATTATAATCAGTTTTGCCAATAGTATTCTAAAGGAGCAGATTATTGATAATATTGAAAAGCATTTAGTCAGCCAGGCGGTGGTGGCGCATGCCTTTAGTTCCAACACTTGGGACAGGATGCAGAGGCAGGCGGATCTCTGTGAGTTTGAGACCAGCTTAGTCTACAAGAGCTAGTTTCAGGACAGCCTCCAAAGCCACAGAGAAACCCTGTCTGGAAAAAACAAAACAAAACAAGGCATTTAGTGTCCTGTTAATACCTATGGTTTGAAAAGACAGCAGGAATTAATGTGTAATGGTTAGACTTTATATCGCTTAAAAATATATTGCTGAAACAAAATTTTATCCAGTAACATGTACCTATTTCAAATATGCATTCACGTTGCAATTGGAGACACATGTCTTTAACTCAGCACTTGGGAGGAGAGGCAGGCCTGTTATGTTAACTTGGGCACAATGGCTGTACCTTAATCTACTGCTCTCTCAGTCAGCAATTCTAACTCAGTTAGTAGCCTGTTTCTCTAGCGGTGGTCTGGCTGCTCAGGCTGTAACCTCTCCCACAGGCATTGGCCCTGTTGCTGCCGCTAAAGGTAGCTTTAACTAAATCTCTATCATTCTAATTAGAATAAGACTCAAGATTCATAGGCTGAGGTGAAAACCTGAGATCTTAGAGAGACTGAGCAGCAACTACCTAACCCTCTCTCCTTGCTGCCAGTGCCTGCCAGAGCAGAATTCTTGCCAGGCTGTGGCCTGAGCTTCCACACAGCTGCTAGAGAGGCTGGTAACTGTGGAGTTGCTGGCTGAGATAGCAGTAGATTAAGGCAGAGCCACTGTGCTGAAGTTAAAACAATACAGGAGGATCTCCGTGAGTTCAGTGCCAGCCTGGTATACATAGTGAGTCCAAGGACAACCATAGCTACATAGTGCAACCCTTTGGAAAAACCAAATATATATATGCAGTTGGTTTGCATGTTTGTTTTTAAATATTTGTATACTTGTCACTATCACCGTAACCAAAACATCTAACACTTTTATCAGGATCACTTATAGTCCTTTTCAGTTTCCTTTAGTTTTAATTTTCTGTTGTTGCTTTTTAGTGCTGGGGACTAAACCAGGGACTGAACTGTATAATCAGTCCTTTATTAATTTCTCTTAAAATGAAAGCTGTTCTTTTCAGATACATATTTTTTAAACATTTTTTAAATATTTTATTTATTTACTACGTATACACTATTTTGCCTGCATGTATCTCTTCATGCCAGAAGAGGGCCCCAGATCTCATTACAGATGGTTGTGAGCTGCCTTGTGGTTGCTGGGAATTGAACTCAGGACCTTTGGAACAACAGCTAGCGCTCTTAACCTCTGAGCCCTCTCTCCAGCCTCTCAGATATAAATATTTAAAAGATTAAGCTTTTCTTTTTTTTTCTTTTTCTCCTCAAGATTCTCTGTGTAGCTTTGTAGACCAGGCTGGCCTCAAACTCACAGAGATCTGCCTGCCTCTATCTCTCAAGTACTGGGATTAAAGGTGTGTGCCACCACTGCCCAGCTAAACTTTTCTTTAAGCAATACTTTGTACTTTGTATCCCACTAATTTTTGTGTTGTAATTTCATTTCTTTCTTTTTTTTTTTTTTTTTTGGTTTTTTGAGACAGGGTTTCTCTGTGTAGCTTTGGAGCCTATCCTGGCACTTGCTCTAGAGACCGGGCTGGCCTCGAACTCACAGAGTTCTGCCTGCCTCTGCCTCCCGAGTGCTGGGATTAAAGGCGTGTGCCACCAATGCCCAGCTGTAATTTCATTTTATATAATTCAAACAATACAGTGCTTTTTTAGTGACTGAACCTTACGTTCTATGTTTGTCTTTTTTAGTGTGACTTATTTTGCTTTATAGTCAGGGATATTTTTGTATCGTTAATAGTAGTCATATGATTTTACTAGTTTTTTAGTAGTAGTTACTCAGCTCAAGGCTTTATGTATGATAAGAATGTGACCTACCACTGGGTTGTATCCCTAACTCTAATTTTTGTTGTTTGTCTTTTGAGACAAGGTCTCATATGAGGCCTTGTTGGCCTGGAACTTGCTGTGTAGAACAGTCTGGCCTTGAACTCACAGAGATCTGCTTCTCATTCTGTGGGAGTATGTGCATATGAGTGCAGTTGACTGCAGAAGCCAACAGAGTACATCAGATTGGATCTGGATAATGGGCAATTACAATCTGCCTGCCAGGTGCTGGAAACTGAACAGAGACCAGAGACCCTCTGCAGGACCGTGCCTGCTGAGCCACGTATCCAGCCCCTCCCTGTCTTTGAAAATATCAATTACATTAGGTTGATAGTTTCAGTTTTAAATTTTGTTCATACCTGTTGATTTTGAATATGTTTATTGTGTCAGTTACTGAGAGAGTAGTATTAAAATCTTAAAATATATGTGATTGTTGGTTTGTATGTTCTTTTAGTTCTGTTAGTCTTGTATTTTAAAGGTGTTATTCATACATACATATTGTCATCTCTTCTTATTGAATAGACCCTTTTATTATGTTAAGTGTCCCTTTTATCTATTGATAATATTTTTTATTTTGTTTGAAATCAATGTAGCTCTTTTAGTTTTCTTATTAGTGTTTGACTGATAGAATTTCCTCCCAGTCTTTGAACTTCGCAATAGTAGATAAGGAGTTTCTTGTAGAAAGCATGTAATTGTCACTGCTTTTATATACAATCACTGTGATTCATTCTTTTTTTTTTTTTTTTTTTTTTTTTGAGACAGGGTTTCTCTGTGTAGCTTTGGACCTTGTCCTGTAACTTGCTTTGGAGACCAGACTGGCCTCAAACTTACAGAGATCCAGCAGCCTCTGTCTCTGGAGTGCTGGGATTAAAAGTATGCATCACCTTGGCCCAGACACTGTATTTTTAATAAGCAATGTATTAGATATTCAGATTTAGCTTAACTACTTATTTTTTAAGATTTAATCTACTAATCTATTTTGTTCATCTTTTTTGTCTTCTCTTTAGTAAAAAATGTTTTTAGCTGTTTTGATTTGTGGAGCTAAGAATCCTATCTAGGGTCTTACACATTGGGCGAGTGCTCTACCACTAAGCTATATGCCTAGCTTTGTTTTTATTTTATATTTATTTGGATCACTGATTCATTAAGTATAATTTTTTTGTTCATTTGTTTGTTTTTTGAGACAGGGTTTCTCTGTGGCTTTGGAGACTGTCTTGGAACTAGCTCTTGTAGACCAGGCTGGCCTCGAATTCACAGAGATATGCCTGCCTCTACCTCCCAAGTGCTGAGATCAAAGGCGTGTGCCACCATTCCCCAGCTAAAAATAGGTTTCTTTAGAGATTTTGTTTTTAATAAAGTTCTTGTTAGGTCTGTGAGATGGCTTAGCAGATCAGGTGCTTAACATGAAGCTTGCTGCTTGAGATTGAGCCCCAGTACCACATAGTGGGAGGAAAGACCCAGCTTCTTCGAGTTATCCTCGACCTCCATCCATTCGTCGTCCTCTTGCCCACATGCACCAGGTCATTTTATTATGGAAGAATATTATGGCTTTGAAGGCCTTCTGTCCTTACGTCTCTTCATGTGCTGTATTGTACCTACTAAACTTTATCATTAAATCTTTCAACCATTTAAGTTGGCTTTTGACTCTGGAACTTTTATTTAGAGAAATTTTTCCTTTGTGTTTAATTTCAGAAAGTATAAAAGATCGAAACCAGCATACCATGAAGAAGCATTATGAAAGAGAGAAGGAAAGACTTGCTGCTGGAATAGAAGAACTGCATGCTAAGCTGGCACAAATAGAAGCTGAGAACTCTGATCTGAAGGTTAACATGGCACACAGAACTAGCCAGTTTCAGCTAATTCAAGAGGAGCTGCTGGAGAAAGCTTCAAATGCTACCAAACTGGAAAATGAAGTAAGTTGCATTTATGAGGGAATAAGTACTAAACTTTGAAGTATAAAAATGGGATTGTGATGGGGTTTTGTAACTATTGAAATCTAGATTTATAAGGCTTTGGAAAGTGATACCATATCAGTTATAAATTCTTTTAAAACCCTATTGGAAATACATGTTTTTGTTTTGTTTTTTGAGACAGGGTTTCTCTGTGTAGTACTGACTGTCCTGAAACTCTCTCTGGAGACCAGGCTGACTTCGAACTCCCAGAGATCTGCCTGCCTCTGCCTCTTGAGTGCTGAGTTAGGTGTGTGCCACTGCCACCTGGCAGAAATGTATGTTTAATTTATATTGAAAGTAGGAAAATAATACCTAGTAGATAGACTGGAAGCTGGGAACTTAGTTCTCTTTCCCATCTTGCAAGATGGTGGGTGAAAAGCCGAGAAGTCTGACACAAACGAGAGAAAACCAGCCAAGAAGGCTGGTGCTGATGCTGCTGCAGCTGGTGTCCCTGCTGCTGGCGCAGCCAAAAAGGGTGACCCTAAGGTTAAAAAGCACAAGAAGGGGAAGTCCCATTGCAGCCATAACCCTGTCCTGGTTAGAGGAGTTGGCAGGTACTCCTGATCTGCTATGTATTCCAGAAAGGCCCTGTACAAAAAAAAAAAAAAAAAATACTCAGCTGCAAATACCAAGGTTGCAAAGAAGAAAAAGGAGAAGGTCCTTGCTACTGTCACTAAACCAGTTGGTGGGGACAAGAGTGGTGGTACCCAGGCGGTTATGCTTCGAAAAATGCCCACGTGTTACCCTAGTGAAGATGTTCCTCGGGAGCTGCTGAGCCATGGCAAGAAGCCCTTCAGTCAGCATGTGAGAAGCTGCATGCCAGCATCACTCAGGGGACTGTCCTGATCATCCTCACCAGGAACCACAGGGGCAAGAGGGTGGTTTGCCTGAAGCAGCTGGGCAGTGGCTTGCTACTTGTGACAGGACCTCTTGCCCTCATCAGAGTTCGTCTGGGAAGAACACACCAGAAATTTGTCATCACCACCTCTACAAAAGTTGATATCAGCAAGGTTAAAATCCCCAAACACCTGACTGATGCTTGCTTCAAGAAGAAGCAACTTCGAGAGCCCAGGCACCAGGGCAGGCGAGATCTTTGACCCAGAGAAGGAGAAATAGGAGATTACAGAGCATTGCAAGGCCTATCAGAAAATCGTGGACTCACAGCTTTTGCCAAAGATCAAAGCTATTCCTCAGCTCTAGGGCTACCTGAGGTCACAGTTCTCTCTGACAAACTGGATGTATCCTCACAAACTGGTATTTTAAATTGCTATCACCCTAATTAAACAGCTTCATATGTTAAAAAAACAAAACAAAACAAAACCAAAAACAACCTAGTAGCTAAAAGTTTTCAAATTTGATGGAAGTAATAGAATATGTTAATGTAATAACATTACATTAGATCTTAGATTGTGGTTGGGGAAAAAGGAGTGGTAGTAGAGAATTTCAAATCTTAGCAAACATCAGAGCCACCCAGGAAACCTGTAAACATGTAGATTTCTGAGTTTCTAGTTGTAGATGGATATTTCTTTGGACTGCCAGTTCACACACACACACACAAAAAAAAACAACAACATGGAGACTTATTATTAATTATAAAAGCTCAACCTATATATAGCTTAGGCTTGTCCCACTAGCTTATAACTTAAATTAACCCATTTTTATTCATCTACGTGTTGCCATGTGACTCGTGGTTTTTACCTTTCCTCCTGTATGTCTTGCTCCCTCCATGTCTGGTTGGCGAATCACCTTTCTTCCCAGAGCTTTCTCTGTCCAGAAGTTCAAGCTATACCTCCTACCTTGCTATTGCCTGTTTAGTTTTTTTATGAAACCAGTCACAATGGCATATCTTTACACGGTGTAATCAAATATCTTGCAGCATCTAGCAACCATAATTCAGTAATTATAACTCATGAATTCCCATTCTAAAACATTACCTGTGAATCTGATACTGTGGGTTATAGTCTGAAAAGGTAATAATGCATGTTTTTCAGTTAGCTAATTAAGAAGTTATACATTTAGCTTATTAATTTCTGTATGGTACATTTCTTCTGTTTGTACAACTTCTAAAAAGTTTTCTAGTGCAGATCTACCAGCAATAAGGTTCTTAATAGTTTTTGTCTGAGGAAACTTTCTTCTTTATATTCTGCAGGTTTTTTTTATTCATAGACTAGGGAATTTCCCATAAGCCCTTTAAAATAAATCTTTAAATTGCAATTTTTTTCTTACAATATATTCGGATCATACTTTTCCTTTCCCCCAAATTCCTCCTAGATTCTACCTATCTCCTCACCCACCAAACTCTATGCCATTTCTTTCTCTCTTTCTCTTTAGAAAACAAACAAGCAAGCAGGCAAACAAAAGGAAAAACACCCAAACAGCTTCCCCCGACCCAAGAAACATACATACCAAGCAACAAAACAAAGCAAAAACAAACTTCCCCCTAGTCTTTGTGTTCCCATTTACTGCATGAAAACACTTCTCTGCTAATGGATGAATGGGGCACTGATCTATGGATATAGCTGTTCTGGGTGATAAAAGAGATTTAGAAGGAAAATAAAACCATCTGAAGAATTTAAGACCTTTGGACAAATAAGCATCCAAGAAAGAAAGGAGAGCAACCCAGAAAAAATTACCAAGAAAAGAAATAATGTGATCTATGATGTTTCCAAAAAGAAGATTGAATCCAAGCTGGGTGGAGATCACAAACACCTTTAATCCTACCACTTGGGAGGCAGAAGCAGGCAGATTTCAGTGAATTTGAGGCAAGACTGATCTACAAAGTGAGTTTCAGGACAGCCAGGACTGTTAAAACAGAGAAACCTGTCTCCAAAAACAAAACAAAACAAACAACAACAACAAAAAAGAAGATGGAGCCCCACAACAACTATTCCATTAGGACTATGACAACACCATTAAGCTGAACAATACCAAGTAAAGATCGACTTGGACTACAAACTGCTCACAATGGTATTAAGGAGGCCAACTGAGATGATCCAGCCTCACAGACTACTTTAGTTAGTACTTGAGACAAGCCCTGCATTTTTCCATTATGCATAGACTGGACAAAAATGATACAAGTTGACATTTAAACCAAAAAAAATTTCTTTTCAGCATCCTCTAAAGATGCCATTGATCCCAGACAGCAGAAAGTAACTTTAAGAAAATGATGCCCACATTTCCAAGAGGTGGAGTGGGTGGCTTTTGGTCATTCAATGGATTATAGATATTTGTCATTCTTTAATAAGATTGGTTACAAAATGTTGTGGGTTACAGTCAGAAAGAAAGCTGAACAAAGGGCATTAGATTCAAGGTTTTTGTTTTGAGAAAAAAAAGGGTAAAGATATGATAGGATAAAAGGGCAGATTATTGAATCTACTCTTGAAAAGAAAAAGGGTAGATATAGATATGATAAGATAAAAAGGTAAATTATTGAATCTACTTTTAAAAAGAACTAGTTTTAAATATTTTACATTGGATTGGACTTCTGTATACTGTATACAAATATTGTATATTGATACAAATTTGAGATTAATTTAGGACATATTGTACATGTTTCTAATCTTGTCCAAGGTAGTGTACCTATACAGCTCATTTTTCAATGCAATGCAAATTTCTAGTTCTTGAAAGTTATTACTACCAACTATATAAGCTAATAAGGAAATGTAGATGAGAAATTAGTCACCTTTTACAGTTGAACTTGTAGTCACATTAGGTATGTTTTCAAAGTCACAGAGATACATTTTAGAAAGACAGGTCATCTTCAAACCCTTCAGAGATCTACAGAATATGGCATTTAACATGTTTCAATAACATAGGTTCTTTTTTATGACAATGAGACATGTCTGCTCCTGGCAGCACCAATCTACTACAGAGAAGATGATGGGTAACGAAGAAACTCACATGGAGTTTACTTTCTTTGTGGCAAAGGTAAGCCACCAGGCAAGAAAGCATCCTTGTCTCAACTGCTGACAGTATTCTATCCAAATTGAACAAACAGGACACAAAAGAGAGTGACTGCAAAACCCTGCCAAGACAAGGTGAGATAGTCCTTCAGAATTCTGCTTCAAAGAAAAATCTGTCAAATATGCTAGGCCTATAGGCAGAAGATGGATACCTCAACATTGCAGAGGAATCTTGGTTGACTGTCCAGACAGCAAGCTTTTTTTTGTCATTTCTCAACAGTTTTTGGAAGTTGCTTGTTCGTACTTCCTGCTTACTCAGTTAATAATATTTCCTTCTTGGGTCTCTGAGGAAGTTGAAGACTAGTTAGTATAGTTTTCATTGTTTACCAGACTCAGAAAAATTTCACTAAATATATGTAAAGTATAGCTGGGTATTGGTGGCGCACGCTTTGATCCCAGCACTGGGGAGGCAGAGGCAGGCAGATCTCTGTGAGGTCGAGACCAGCCTGGTCTACAAGAGCTAGTTCCAGGACAGGCTCCATTGACACAGAGAAACCCTGTCTTGAAAAACCAAAACCAAATAAACAAACAAAACCAAAAAACCCCACCAAAAAATACATAAAGTGTAAAAGGTTGAGAGACATTAAAGAATAATTAGATGATGCAAATTAGAGTAAAAAGTAAATTAGGTACAAGACTTTGGACTCAACAAGATAGAATAGATAATGAAGTGTTTTCTCTGAATCTGTCAAATGAGAATGGACTAGATATTTTCTCTGAACTTGTCAAATGCAAATGGACTAGGTATTGTTGATAAACTTATTGCCTGTATATATATTGTATATACTTACTGTACTTATTGTATATAGTTTTTCTTATATTAGTTGTAGCAATCTTCTTTTTGTATTAGAGAAAATGGGAATTGTGGTGATATTTTGTTTATGATTTATTAAAGCTTGCCTGAGGATTCAGAAAGCAAAGTCAGCTACAAGCCATGGAAGCCAGGCACACACATTTAATCCCAGCAGCCATAAGCTAGGAGGTGGTGACATACACCTTTAATCCTAGGACTCAGGATTAAGAGGTAGATGGATCTCTGTGAGTCCAAGGCCACCTAAATCTATACAAGATTGATCCAGTCTTAACTAGAAACAGCTCACACAAAAATGATCTCAGCACCTGGGATCTCATGCCTTTAAGCCCTGCATTAGGGAGGTATGTAAAACAGGAGCAAGGTCTCAGTATCAGGCATTCATTCTCCAGCCACATTGAGGATTCTCCAGCATTTCTAAGGAGAGGCAGCAGGATGAGCCCATTCAGCCTGAGGTAGTGGTAAGAGCCAGTGGCCTGCTACTTTGCTTTTCTGTTCTTCAGCTTGAAGTTTGAACCCCAATATCAGTCACTGGGTCGTTTATTTATTCATGTTACATGTAGCAGAATATCTTTAGGAGTCTTTTTATTGACCTGTTCCTTTAGCAAAACCAATAGTATTTGGCTTTCCCCTAGGTCCATGGTCTATCTTGTGCCATTCAGGTTCTTGGCCACCCAAGCAGTGTCAGCATGGGTTCCATCTTGTGGAGGGGCCTGAAATTCAGCCAGAGAGCAGTTGATTACTCCCACATTGTGCCATGATTGCACCAGTGTCTTGCCAACACCTCACCATTTTAGATTGCAGTGTTCGTAGCTTGGTTGATGGTTACCTTTCTTTTGTAGTAGCATGCACAGGACCTTCCAACTGTGTGAACACCAGTCAGTGGGGGAAGGCTCTAGTCGGGCCCTGGCTTGACTTCTCCATATTCAGTGAGATAGGTAGGTGTTTCCTTGCCATCAGTTTGTGGCGAGCAACTAATAGCCTTGGCAATAGCCTGAGATGTTTGGGGTTTCCATTGGGCCCCTTTGGTGAATGACTCAACTAGAGTTAACCCATTCCTGATACTGGAGGTTTCACTTGGTGGCAAAGATAGCTAGTTGAGGCGCTGTCTCCCCATTATTTGGTGACTCCATTTATGTTTCTTTCATATATGTATATATTTTAGGAAGATTCTACTCAGAACTAAATAGGTTTCTATTTAAACCCCCAAATGGCCTTAAGCATTTGTTAGTCAGTCATATTTTCCCTTTTTTTGGGAGATCCTCCCCAAGTAAGCCCCCAGTCCCTTACAAGATAGCTAACCTCTGTTGTATGGATTGTAGCATACCTGTTGAAGGCTTACCCCATATATATATATATGGGGTAGGTGTTGCCTTACTTGGCATGATTTTTTTTTTCTAGCTCCATCCATTTACCTGCAAGTTTCATAAAACCAAAACCTTTTTTTGTTTTGTTTTTGTTTTTGTTTTTCAAGACAGGGTTTCCCTGTGCAGCCCTGGCTGTCCTGGAACTTGCTCTGTAGACTAGGCTGGCCTCAGAGATCTGCCCACCTCTGCCTCCTCCAAGCTGGGATTAAAGGCATGTGTCATCCTGCCCAGCTAAATTAGGTTTTATCATCAATGATTTTCTTTCTCTGTGTATTGTGATTGATAATTTTGCAGGCTATAATAATTTGGCCTGTCAGCACATGTTAGGAAAGCATTCTACTGCTGAGTTGTATCATCAGCCTAGTTCTATTCTGAAGCATGTACGTCAATGTAAATTAAGAGATTATTTGCCGGGTGGTGGCACACATCTTTAATTCCAGCACTCAGGAGACAGAGCAAGTAGGTCTCTGAGTTCATGGCCAGCATGGTCTATAGAGCAAGTTCCAGGACAGCCAGAGCTGTTACATAGGGAAACTCTGTCTTGGAAAACCAAACAACAAGAAAAGATTATTCAGTGTATATTTTAAGTATCTGTTACCATAAATTTCTCCAGTTTGTTAGTTGTATTTTTAGGGTTTGGAATGAGGAGCAGGTATTTGATTTTAAAATGTATGTCATTACTTTTAAGGTGTATTATTTTTGTTTTTTCAGATAACGAAGAAATGTTCTCAACTTTTAACTCTAGAGAAACAGCTAGAAGAAAAAATTATTGACTATTCTTCTATTGCTGCAAAAAATGCAGAACTTGAACAGGAGCTCATGGTAAAATTTACCAATTTTATTTTTCTTTTTAATTGTTATTATGTCAATCTATTATGTAGTTTGACTTTGAAGTTTCTTTGTTGGTTTTTAATTGATATTACTGATTTAAAGATGACAGTGTTGAAATCACCCACTATTATTCTGTTAGGACCTATGTAATCTTTTATTCCTTTTTGTGTTTGAAATTGCAACCTGAACATTCAGTGTATGTATATTTACAGTTGCTAGGTCTTCTTTGTGTATGCAGGTGCACTCATCCATGTGTGCATATATAGAGTCCAGACATCAGCATTGGGTGTCTTTTTTTAGTTTGTTTTGGGACATGATCTCACTATGTATCGGTACCTGGCCTTGAACTCATAGAGATCCTCCTGTCTCCGCCCCCTAAGAGCTGGGATTGAAGGCATCTGCCACCAGGCCAGGCTAACACTGGGTATCTTCCTGTTCATGTGAAGTCAGGGGGCAGTTTTCTATTCTTACCGTGTCAAGTGTCCTTACCCTGGCCTGTCTTTGCTTTGTATTTTTGAAATACTGGCCAGAATATGTTGTAGAGAGTCTCTTCTTTGGTCATTTGTGTTTTTGCTTCTAAAAGACTTTTGAAGTTGAGTGTCTAGCTTTTTAAAATTTGTTAAGTTTTCTGCTGTAACTTCAAGAAATAGATGATTCTCAACGGCTTAGTTTTACCTCAGTTCCTTCTCCTACCCACTGAATTCTTAGGTTTGGTGTCCTCGTAATATCCCAACATTTCTGGGAGCTGTGGCTGTGCTACTGCTGCTTCCTCCTTTCTTCTTCCTCCTCCTCCTCCTTCTGCTTCCCCACTTAACTGATGTGTGAAGGTAATATTTCCTCAATTTGGTCCTTCATCCCTGATAATCTGTCTTCTATAGGTGATGCTTTCCACTGAATTTTTTATTTGACCCATTGTGCTTTTCATCTCTTACATTTATGTTTGCATCTCCAGATTTCTTTGCTGAATTTTTATTCCATAATGTCAACTTTGCCCATATTGATTATTTTCTCATCTAATCTGCTGAATTTCTTTGTTATGTAGTTCTTGTACAAGTCCTAGACTGATTTCTTTAATTGATCCATTTGTTTGTTTGTATCCTCTTCAAGGTCATTGTTTTTTAAGTTGTTTTTTCTTTCATTGAAAATAGATTTTTAGCCAGGCCTTTAATTCCAGAGGCAGAGGCAGTAGAATCTCTGTAAATTCAAGGCCAGCCTGGTCTACAAAGTGAGTTCCAGGATAGCCAGGGCTACCCAGAGAAACTCTGTCTCAAAAAAAAAAAAAAAAACCAAACCCAAAAACAACAACAACAAAAGATTTTTTTTTCATACAATGTATTCTGATTATAGTTTCCCCTCCCGGTCTTCTTCCCAGTTTCTTCCCACCTCCCCTCCTATCCAGATCCACATCCATAATAATAAAATAAGTAAAAAAAAATAAATTAATTGGAATATGACCAAACAACCAAACATGGAAAAGAGCCAAAGGAATGCATTTAGAAAAACAGAAGAAAAAAAAAAAGAAATGGATATAGATGTAGAGACATACATACACATTGGTACACACAGGAATGCCATAAAAACTCAAATATATATATATATATATATATATATTATATAAAAATCACCTCTAATGGTAAATTTTAAAAAATGCCTTGACTTAACATTATGAGACAAAGAACTTCAAAAGATGTTATTGAATTCATTTTGTGTTGGCCATCTACTACTGCTGGGCAAGGAGCAGACCATGAAGAGTGGTTTGGTTTTCCATTGAGAACCTTTCTTCCTTGGAGAAAACTAATTTTTCATTTCCCAGAGGCTGTGACTTGGAGACAGTTTCTGGCTTAAGGATGGGGGCGGGGGTGTCCGCTTTTTTTCAAAGCTTTAGGACCCTATCTGGTGCAGACTAATGCAGGCCCTGTGTATGTTGGCACAATCTCTGTGAGTTCGTATGTGCAACCAGCAATGTTGTGTCAGAAGGCCTTGATTTCTTGGTGTCCTCCATCCTATCTGACTCTTACATTCTTCCTGCCTCCTCTTCCTCAGAGTTTCCTGAGCCCTGAAGGGAGGAATTTTGATGAAAACATCCTTTCAGAGCTGGGTGTTTTCTTTGACTTTGCACAATGTCTGGCTGTGGGTCTCTGTATTTATTCCCATATCTGTAGGAGGAAGCTTCTCTGATGGCTGAGCAAGGCACAGATAATTGAGTATAGCAGAATGTTGCTAGGAGTCATTTTATTGCTGTTCCTTTAGCAGAACAGTAGTATTTGATTTTGCTGTAGTCCCTGGCCTAACTAGTTTCAAGTTCTTAGCCACCTAAGAAGTTTTGGGTATGGATTCCATCTCGGGGATGGGCCTTTCTGCCACTATTACACGAGAGTATCTTACAGGCAGATCCCTCTTGCAGATTTATAGATGGGTTGGCGTTTACCTTTCTCCTTTGGTGGTGTATAGAGTGCCTTTCAGAACTGTGAATACTATTCTGTAGGGGTAAAGACTCCAGGTAGGAACAAGTTCAACTTCTCCATGTTCAATAAGTTGTGTAGGTGCTATCTTCAACAATAGAGTCTTAAACTTGTGGAGAACCACCAATAGCTTTTGAAATAGCCTGGGTTGTTTAGGTTCCCAGAGGACTCCTTTGGCCAACAACTCAATTAGATATAACCCATTCCCGGCACTGGCAGCTTCATTTGGTGATGAATGATGTACAGATGGGGCTCTGTCTCCCCATTATTTGACAATTTCATTTAGATTACCTTTCTATAGGTATGTATTATAAGATGTTTATATTGTATTTGAGCTGTCCCTTCCCATATTCCCTCCTTCACATCCCTCTTCTCTCTCACTCACTGTTTGATCCTTCCATTCCAATTAACGCCCCCATTTCCATCCATAATTACCTATTCCATTTCTCCTTCCTAGGAAGATCCATACCTCCTCTCAAGTCCCTTACCCTAACCTAGCTTCTGTGGTTCTTACAGAATGTAGCTTGCTTGTCAGTGACTTAACAGGTAATATCTACATAAGTGGATACATATCATACTTGTTTTTCTTGATCTGTTGAAAATACTTTAGGGCTGGAGAGATGGCTCAGAGGTTAAGAGCACTGGCTGCTCTTCCAGAGATCCTGAGTTCAATTCCCAGCAACCACATGGTGGCTTACAACCATCTATACTGAGATCTGGCCTACAGGCATACATGCAGACAGAACACTGTATATATAATAAATAAATCTTTAAAAAAAGAAAATACTTTCTTTGCCTCTGACCTGTGTTTCTTCTCCTTCTTTTATTCCTATTATTTTTAGATTTGGTCTTCATAGTGTCCCAGACTGACTGGACATTTTGTTCCAGGAGCTTTTTTTTGTTTTTTGTTTTTTGTTTTTCTTTATCCAACACGCTTTCTCGGGTGCTTTGGAGCCTATCCTAGAACCCACTTTTTAGACCAGACCGGCCTTGAACTCACAGAGATCCGCCTGCCTCTGCCCCCCAAGTGCTGGAATTAAAGTCGTGCACCACCACTGCCACTGGCTACCAGGAACTTTTTTAGATTTAACATTTTCTTTAACCAAGGTATTCATTTCTTCTATCGTGTTCAGTGCCTGAGATTATCTCTTGCATTCTGTTGGTAAGACTTTTTTCTTACCTGTTCAAGGTTCCTGTTCAACTTCCTGAATTTTTCATTTCTAGATTTCCCTCAGTTTGGGTTTTCTTTATTGATTCTATTTTCACTTTCGGGTCTTGAAAATTCCCCCCCCCCCACACACACACACTGCTTGTTTATGATTTCATAGATTTCTTTAAGGGATTTATTAATTTTTTCTTTAAGGACCTCCATCATATTTAAAAAGGCTATTATAAGGCCTTTTTCTTATGCTTCAGCTTTGCTACAGTAGGACCTGCTGTGGTGTGGTAGCTGGGCTCTAGTGGGGACATACTGTCTTTGTTGTTTTTGTGTTTTTACAATGATGTCTAGGCATTCTGGTTTGTGAAGATTATAATTCTAGATGCTGATATCTGGTTTTGTCTTTATTGGGTGGATGCTTTGTTACTTGGTTTCTGTTACCCTCTAGTTCTTAGGAGAGTGTCGTGGCTGTGTGTTGGAAATTCTTATGTGTTTCTAGGTATTGGGATCTGACAGGTAGGATGGGTTGGGTAGGGGAAGGTGGGGTTAAGGGAGGAGAGCAGGATGTTTCTCCAGAATCTCTTTGGGGACAGAGAGTGAGGAGAGTCTATAGCAGGTAATGTTCTGCAGAGCTGGGGATGAGAATGGAGGATTGGACTTGGAGGAATGGAGGGACTGATGAAGATCTGCATTAGCCTACCTGTTTGCCTGGCCAGAGTGACCTGTGGGCTTCACAGGAATGCCTGCTGGGGTTCAGGGCCGGGAAGAGGAAGGTTTGGAGGGGAAGGTCTGTACCATCCCTTAAAGATGTGTTGTAGACTGTGGATGAGACTGGAAGATTGGATTTGGAGTAGAGGAGAGAGAGTGAAGAGCTATCTAGATCACCTGCCTCTGTGTGTGTGTGCGTGTCTGGAGGTCAGAGGACAGTTTTCAGCAGTCAGTTCTCTAATTTCACTATGTGATTTCCAGAGATGGAACTCAGTCCATAGGCAGGTTGGCAAACACCTTTACCCACTTAACCATCTTGATGGCCCCTCATTGATTATTTTTACTACTAAAATTTTAAATTCTTTGTTTTGCCAGTTTCACATTTTAGTGTCTCTGAATTCTGTAGATGAGGAATGATCTTTTGGAGGAGTCAGTGCCCCACGCTCTCATGTTTCTTATGCTTCTGAGTTGTAGTTTGCACTTGGTATGGAGATCTCTTGCAACTCTTTTGGAGATCTTAGTGAGTAGTCTGTTTGAGGACCACATTCCCATACTATTTAGAGGAGAAAACAAACTGTCATAATAGCAACATCACAAAACAAACAAGGGGTAGAAGTGTACTTAAAATTGATTAAAGCCAGAGTTACTGTAGTGGCACATGCCTTTAATGCCTGTATTCAGGAGGCAGAGACAGGTAGATCTTACTAAGTTTGAGACCAGCCTAGTCTACATAGTGAGACAATTTCTCAAAACAACACACAGCACACAAAAAATGATTAAAACTTACTAATACACTGCTTGCGACCATAAAACAGAAAATGGCATTATTTAAGTAGAGTGTTGGTTTGAATTTAAAATTATTTAGGTTAAACTTAGATGTAGAAATGAATGAGATAAAGAAATGTAGAGGAAAAGAGCAGAGGAAAATTATAGCATTGAGTTTGTAGCTGTCTATGAAGTACATTATCAAGTTTCTACAGTTCACGGTTCAGATGTGTTTCTTGTAGAACATAAATCATTCAAAAATATTAAAAACATAGCTAAGATAGTTGACAAGGACTGTTTGATTGTAGCCTATAACCAATTTTTTTGTAAGTAAACATTTCAGAGGTACTGAAAGTATAAGTAAATTATCTGAGCAGGTAGAAAATATGAATTTAATGATAATAAACCCAAAGAAACCAAGTCTGAAGTGGAAATGGATGATAGTTCAACATATATAATATCTGTTCTACCCAATTTTCCCCTAAAGTTGTTCACTTCTGCTGGTATTTAGAACACTATAGAAAAGGTCTGTCTTTGATACTAATTGTTAAACAAGTTCAAAAACAGAAATACTCCAAGCTGTTAAGTTTCAAAATTCTTACATGTGGGATCATCAGAAGATGGGACAAAGTGCTGATGACTCTGAGTAAAAGATGAAAATTCAGTTGGAAATTGAACCAGAGTAGACCCATGTGCAGAAAAGACAGCTGCATACCAAAATTCTACCAAATGAAAACTCATTTTGAAAAATTATTGTATTTTTTTGTGAATGAATGTTTTGCCTGAATGCAGCATGTCTGTGCTTAGTGCTCACATCACAGCACTTGGGAATACAGGCAGGTGAACCTTTTTAAGTTCAAGACCAGCCTGGGCTACATAGTGAACTCCAGACTAACCAGGGCTATATAGTAAGACTCTGTCATTTAAAAAAAAAAAAGTTGTAAGAAAATGAAGCAGCAGCAAGCAATATTAAAAATATTCGTAGTTACAATTAGAAAAGTATAAGAATGGGAAGAAAATAAAAACAAACGATTTTTAATTTTTAAATAAACTAGTAAGATTAAGTTAATATCAGTAAAGTTATAGTAGAAAAGAAAATAAGCAAGAGAACATGGGGTAATGAATATAAATAAAAGATTATTGCATGATGATGCAAAAAAGTGTGATAACTTGCTGGGTATGGTGGCATATACCTGTAATTCCAGTACTTGAAGGCAGAGGTTGGTGAATTTCTGAGTTCAAGGCCAGCCTGGTCTACACATCAATTTCCAGGCTAGTCAAGGGCAACACAGTGAACCCTGTTTCACAAAAACAACAACAAAATTTTTCAAAAAGAAATATAACCAAATTTCAAACTGCATGAAATAGAACATAAATAAAAGCATAAAAATTTAAAGAAATATGGTTAAATAAAAGTACTAATAAGATATAGTAAAAAGAACAAAGGGAAACTTAAGAGGCAAGAAAAACAGACTACAGAAAAAATTAGTATCTTTTATCAGCTTCTTCCTGGCTATGAAAATTGGAGCTTGTTGGTACGTGTGTGTGGAGGAGTCAGATGAACTTTAGACTCTTGTGTTTACTATGACTTAACTGACACTGTACTGGTATCCAGTCAGATCTGTTGTCACTTTAATAGGTTGAGTGTCTGCTGCCTACTCTTTGCTTTACAACCTCCCATCTTCTTGAGATCCCCTGGTTTGTACTTGTGGTTAGTGATCTAGCTGTGGGGTGTCTCCCAAATACACTGGAAGTTGGTGGGGGGAGCAATCCGAGCACTGAGATGTATAAGGGTAGACCTGTCTTTTTAACTTCATACTATTAAATTTGCGAAGTAGTAATCACCCTGCTAGATGGATGCAGCTGTGGGTTTCAAATAGTCTATTGGAATTTTGAGTTCTCTGCCTCTACATCCTTGAGTATAAAAACTTAGCTCCAGAGATTTATCTACTCCCACATTCCCCCATCTCAGGCTCATGGCTGTCATTCTTCAGAGTTATTCTCAGCGGGTGAATCCTGTTCCTGGCTGCTAGTGGCAAAGCTCCCTTCCCAGCACAGCTCACTGCCTAACAGGCCTCCTGCTTCCTGCCCTTTAGTTTGTCAGTGTCCTGCTCTTCTGTTTTCTACAACTGCATCCCAACTCTGTCTCTCAGCTGGGGTTGTAGCAGGTTGAATTAATCTTCCTGAGGTGTGATTGTTCCCTATTTTTTATAGACCCCAGAGTATTTTAGTTTTAAAAAATAGGTTCCCTGAAGATAGTGTCCAGCCACAGCCCTCTGAGCCAGGGGAACTCCTCTGTTCCTGATTTGTCCCACTCCTTTAATCCCAACACTAGTTATACCCACCAAGTTTTACGTAGTATTTTATGAGTCTTACTCATAAAGGCTCAAAAAAATAGTAAGATAAAGATGGCTCGTTGATATAGACAGTTATAAAAACTTAAAATCAGCCAGGGGGTGGTGGTGGATCTCTGTGAGTTCAAGACCAGCATGGTCTACAAGACCAAGTTCCAGGACAGCCTCCAAAACCACAGAGAAACCCTGTCTCAAAAAAACAAAACAAAACAAAATGGCAGTTTTTTTGTAATCTAAAACAGACTTTTAGTTACAGTCTTCCCAATATTTTTATTTCTAGGAGAAGAATGAAAAAATAAGAAGCCTTGAATCCAATATCAATACAGAACATGAGAAAATTTGTTTTGCTTTTGAAAAAGCAAAGAAAATTCACCTTGAACAGCATAACGAAATGGAAAAACAGATTGAGCGAGTAAGTAATGTATTCATTAGTACTGACAAGAACCTGAAACATCCTAATCCAAAATTATTTTTTTTAAGATTTTATTTATTATATATACAACATTCTGCTTCCACATATATCTGCACACCAGAAGAGGACACCAGATCTCATAATGGATGGTTGTGAGCCACCATGTGGCTGCTGAAAATTGAACTCAGGACCTCTGGAAGAGTAGTCAGTGCTCTTAACCTCTGAGCCATCTCTCCAGCCCCTCCAAAATTCTTCAAGTGCAAATAAACAAAGGCATAGAGAAATTAATTACACGACCTATAAGAATCTCACTCTTTATGTTTTTTTTTAAAGATTTATTTATTTTATGTATGCAAGTACTTTATCTGCATGTACACCTGCATACCAGAAGAGAGCATCCAATCTTACTACAGATGGTTTTGAGCCACTATGTGGCTGCTGGGAATTGAACTCAGGACCTTTGGAAGAGCAGCCAGTTCTCCTAACCTCTGAGCCCAAGAATCTCTTTCTAAATAATTTTCTGCTGTTTGTTCTGAACGTGTGTGTGTGTGTGTGTGTGTGTGTGTGTGTGTGTGTGTGTGAGAGAGAGAGAGAGAGAGAGAGAGAGAGAGAGAGAGAGACGGTTTCACTATGAATCTGTCTGTCCTGTAACTCACAATGTAGATCAGGCTGGCCTTAAACTCACAGTTATTCATTTCCCTCTGCCTCCCCAGTCCTGGGATTACAGACTGCACCACCAGTACACTTGGCTCCAATATTTGTGTATTTTTTATTTTCTGTGGTTCTGGGGATGGAATCTAGGGCACTGTACATACTAACTAGATACTCTGCTAGTTGAGATGGCTCAGCAGACATAGCTGCCTACTGCCAAGCCTGATGATTGGAGTTTAAATTCCAGGACCCACACAATGGAAGGAAAGTTGTCCTCCAACCATCATGCATTTAAACATACACCTACACAAAATGAAATAAAATGTAATACTCTCCTCCTTTTTTAAAGAATACATCAATAAAGAGAATCTCTAAAATGTTCAGTAAAATTTATAAACTAGTAATCATTTAGACCTAGAGGTTTAAAAGAATTAGGAATAATAAACCTATATCATGCAGGGTCATGGTGACCACAGCCACTGGATGCCTTTAATCCCAGCACTCCAGAGGCAGAGGCAATTGGAGCTTTCTGAGTTCAAGGCCAGCCTGATCTACAGAGTGAGTTCCAGATCATCCTGAACTACAAAAAATAAATAAATAAAAATAAATCATTATAGACCATAAAACACAAAGTGATTAAACAGAACAAAACAAAACAACAACAACAAAAAGCATAAAAAGCTGAAGAATGTACTTGGTAGGCCAATGCAGGTGGGTCTCTGTAACTATAACTCTTTCCACCAGCCACCTGGGTTTCGCCGACACTTTAGGTTCCCCAGTTAACATACAGAGATTAATATTAGTTACAATGCTGCTGGCCAGTAACTAGGATTTCTTATTGCTAGCTCTGTCTTAAGTATCAACCATACCCATTAATCTATATATTTTATAAAGATTTGTCAAGGATGCCTGCAGCATTTGTCCTCTCTTCCTGGGATCACATGGCGACTCTCCCTGTCCTACATTTCCCAGAATCCTCCTTCTCTCTTAGTCCTGCCTAACTTGCTTCCCTATTGGCCAACAGTGCTTAATTTATCAACCAATAAGACAAATGTATACACAGAAGGACCTCCCCCATCATCTCCTCTTTTTCTGTTTAAATAAAAAGAAGGGTTTTAATATTAACATAGTAAAATGTATAAAAAAACAGTTATCAAATAAGAACTATAGTTACAGTATTTAGTTCATTAACATTTAGCAAAATTTTAAAGAAAATACTCTATCCTATCTTTAAGTCTAAAGTCTTATATATAGCTTATCTTTTACAATAACTAAAGAAAACTATAACTATCTGTCTTCAACTCCATCAAAGACTACAGACGGGTAATATTTAAATTCTAGATCTGACAGACATTTTGATGCCTAGACAGTCACCTGAAGCTCCTCTGTAATGTTGAGGCATCTATCTTCAGCCCATAGGCCACAGTGTGTTGGGCAGACTTCCCAGTGAAGCAGGAAATTTTAAACTGTCCACTTGCATTGGCAGTTTGTCAGTCAATTTCCTCTGTGTCCTGCAGAATGTCTGGCAGACTCTTTATGAAACAGGAACCCTTTAGGACTTTCCATCTTGTTTTGTAAGTTCAGGAGTCACTTTCCTGTGGGACCTCCATGTCCAGTTTATACAGCAACAAGCAGTCCAGGCAAGAGCAGTTTTTTGCCCAAATATCTAATCTTGCCATGTTGAAAGCAAACTCCATAGTGAGTTTCTTCGATGTCCATCTTCCTCTCGGACATAATTGATGTGCCAAGAGCAGTTGTGTCTCACTGCCATGAAAAACCCTAAACTATTTAAATACCATATATTCTGTAGGTCTTTGAAAGGTTTGAAGAATATCTATCCATGTCAAATACATCTCTGTATGTCTAGAAAACCTAACTATCCTAACTGTAAGTTTTGACTGTTATACCTGACTATATACAATCTGTATTTAATTATGTATTACATTTTAAAAGATCTGTATAAACACAATACCAAACAAGAGGAGAAATTTACATATAACAAAATTAACCTTAAATTTTATCAATAAATGGAAATCCATACCAATGTAAAGTATTCATTTCTATATTCTATTCCCCCTTTTTCCTTTAAGAAGAGATTGACTGTGATCATTACCATTTATAACCAACCCCATTTAAACGAAAACAAACATTTATAAACAATATTTGGGCGTCATTCATTCCAAAGTGCTTCCTGCTGGTTGGGGGCGATGTTCATACCATGGGGATCATGATAAAACACGGAAACATGGCCAGGTCCTTGTTTTTGTAGTCTGTAAGGCTGTATCATCTCAGCTGTTTTAGATGTCGGATCACCTGGGACACTGTTTCAGGGGGTCTTTCTTCATCAAACCATATTAGTCTGGAAGGAATCCATAGCTTTACATTTTATGTGGAAACATAAGCAAAAACTCTTTTCCCAAGTAACCTGTCCTTATATTTAACTTTAGAAGTTAAAGCATTTTTAGAATATGTAAGTTGGATTAATTTAGCAGCACTTATAATCAAATGTCTTTTAGCAGCTGTAGCAATCAAACAATTTAAAGACAACAATATAGCATATAGTATCCAGACTCTGAGTATTTTTAATCTTTACCTGGCTTTTTATTATAGTATTTCTTTTACTTCTACTTTTTTTTTCTGAGACAGGGTTTCTCTGTGGAAATCTTCGTGCCTCTGCCTCTGGAGTGGTGGGGATTAAAGGCACGTGTCAGTATACCTGGATACTCATTATTTTATCTCTCAAACCTATGTGTGTTTTTTCTTTAATGTAAATCTGTATCTTTTATAATCACATGAGTCTCATGTGCTCACTAACAGCCTCAGTTTTGGCCAGTATGTAAATGAGAAAGCTGGTCTTAAAAGGAGTCACAGCGGCCTGTCTCTTAAAGCCTTGGTAACATTGTTCATCCAAGAAAATGCTTCTATCAAGAAACTGTGCTTGCCTCTGTTGTTTTTGTTTCTAAAATCCCTTTTTAAGTTTTTGTGAAGTTTTTATGTGGAAGTTCATAAACCACGTGGGCACCATTTGTAACGATAACCCTTTATGCCAGCCGCCTGAGTTCTGCTGCCACGTTAAGGCCCCCAAATAACACACAGAGATTATTATTAGTTACAATGCTGCTGGCCAATGACTAGGATTTCTTATTGCTAGCTCTGTCTTAATTATCAACCATAACCATTAATTTATATATTTTATAAAGACTTATTGAGGACAACAGCGCATGCGTCCTCTCTTCCTGTGATCACATGGCGACTGTCCTCTTTACTATATTTCCCAGAATCCTCCTCGACTCCTAGCCCCACCTATCTTGCTTCCCTATTGGCCAACAGTGCTTTATTTATCAACCAATAAGACACAGAAGGACTTCCCCCATCAGATCTTTATGAGCTCAAGGCCAGTGTGGTCTATATAACAAGTTTCAGACCAGCCAGGAATGAATACATAATAAGATCTGGGTTTTCAAACAAAATAAAAGAAATATAGTTTCACATTCCCCTCTCCTTTCCCAAAGAAAGTTCAGATCTATGTGATTTTACTGGTAAATTCTTCCAAATACATAAGGAAGAAATAATTGATATTATATCTACTAAAAGAAGATGAACTACTTTCAAACTCATTTGACAAAGAAGGCAAGTATCTTAAATTCAAAAAACAAGACAAAGATAATAAAATAGTATTTTATTCTCATTAGAATGTGAAGGTAGGGAGTGAGAGGGAAGACTGTTAGTAGCAAACACTGACAAGAAGTGTAATCTTCATTTGTTGTTAGTATGATAGAGTGGAACCCAGTCTTAAAAACCAAAAATAATAAAGGGAGAGATAAAAGTCTTGACATATTTGGAAGAAAATACCTACTGAAATGAAAATGTGCCTGTCCCACAAACAGGAGGTCCATTTTTAGGTGATTTGTTCTAGGGAAACTCTTGTACATATGAATAAAAAGACTTGTATAAAGCATGTTATTGCTTCATACATTCTTGCAGTAATCAAAGCAACATACCAAAGTAAACCTTAATTCCTCATGTAGATTATAGTGCTTCCTAAAGTAAGTGAACTAGACCCATATACCAACACAAATAAATGGCCGAAACTATATTGAGTAAAAGAAAAGGCAAATTATTAAAAGTTAAAGATACTGTTATAGTAAATGTAAAATTTCAAGACAGAAAATTTTATTTCATGTTGTTCGTGGATGTACATATTTAATAAAACCACAAAAATAGACCAGTCAATAAGAACAAAGGAAGAAAGGGAAAAGAGATAGGTATATGATTTAATTTTTTTTAAATAAGAGAAATTGAAGGACATTTCTAAAATGCAAAATTTATTTCAAATATGCTTTCAAATATATTTATGTTTAAAGTGTTCCCAGTGTTTTAAAAATGTAACATGAAAATCCTGTTTTTATATTTAGCTTGAAACTCAACTAGAGCAAAGAGATCAACAATTCAAAGAACAAGAAAAGACTATGTCCATTTTGCAGCAAGATATACTATGTAAACAGCATCACCTTGAATCACTCGATAGACTTTTGACGGAAAGTAAAGTGGTAAAGTCATCTTTTTAAAAGTACTGTTTAAAAAGCTAACATTTAAGTTTATTTTTCTGTAGCATAAATTTAATATACTCTCAATGTTTATTTACAAACATATTTTTCTTACCTAAATTTGTTTACAGGAAATGGAAAAAGAAAATATGAAGAAAGATGAAGCTTTGAAAGCGTTGCAAATTCATGTATCTGAAGAAACAGTCAAGGCTAGTACATTATTCTTTTTGTGTGTTTGTGCATGTATGTTCACACACATGCCAAGCCATGAGTGTGAAGGTAGAGGCCAACTTGCAATAGTCAATTTTCTCCTTCTATCATATGGGTCTCAAGAATAGGATTCAGGTAATAAGGTTTGGAGACAAGAAACTTTACCTGCTAAGCCATTTTATCAGGCCTCTGTTTTACTACTACAGACATTGCTTTGGCTTTCTTTCCAATCAGTTATTAAAACTGTAATAATCATCAGTGAAATGGCTGAGGAAATGGCTTAGTGGTTAAGAGCATGTACGACTGACTCATGCACAGGACATGAGTTCAGTTCTCGTTGCTGCTGGGCAGCTACAGCTGCCTGTGACTCCAGCTCCAGGGGTCCCACACCCATGTCTGGCCTCTGAGAGTAACTGCATGCATGCATACACACATATCTTACACACACACACACACACACACACACACACACACACACACAGGTTTTTTTAACTACTTTATTTTTCATCTATAATTGCAACTTATTGTTACCAAAATAAACAGGAGGAGGGTTCATGCACACATACCTTCCCCCACTGACACACAAATAAATATAATTTAAACAAATTTCAAAAACAAAGACGTACTAGTTTTACTGTTGTACCTCACACTATAAGAGCTGTAGCCACAGAGCATGATAAATACTTAAGATGGTAATGGCATTAAATTTGTGCATGTGTGTGTCTGTCTGAATGAAAAAGCAGTATATTTAGTATTCAATTCTATAATCTTTGAAATTTTTCCCATGTGCATATGGAAGAATACTGTATATTCATTTTTATTAGCATTAATAGGTCTAAATATACTGCCATCTTGTGCCATAGATAACTTGAATATAAAGATACCTACTTTTTGCCTAGAATTCTGTTTATAACCCGTTTTGAGATTGTATATGCTTATGTAAACAATTATGTCTTCAAGGAAAGAGAGAGAGAGAGAGAGAGAGGGAGGGAGGCAGGCAGGGTGAGTGTGTGTGTGTGTGTGTGTGTGTGTGTGTGTGTGTGTGTGTGTGTGGTACAAGTTCATATGTATGTATGAAGGTTAGAAGTTGAAATCAGATCTCTTCCTTAATCTTATTTTTTTGATAAAGGATATTTCATCAAACCTGGAGCTTGCCGGTTCAGCTATTTCGCCTGGCCTGTGTGCTTCAGTGATCTGCTTGTCTCTGCCTCCCTGATTCTAGAATTGCATACATGTGCATGCTGCCATACCTGGCTTTTTACATGAGTGCTGGAAATCTGAACTCTGATCTCCATGCTTGCTATGAGTCATCTCCCCAACCTAATAGTTACATCTGTGTTGATTGTTAGGGTCTGGGGTGACTTAGTGATTCACTATGACCCTAAGTACATGTTAACAAGAGGCTTTATATTTTAGATGTTGATGTCCAGTGTGGGGCCAGGGCTGCACCTGAGAATGCGCTCAAGATTCAGCACTTAGCCATATCAGCCCAAGGCTTATGAAGGAAAAGCCACAAGATTGCATGTATTTTGTCTACATGTAGGCAAGGTCTAATTTATGTCGTGCAGTTGTCTAGTCATATTTTTGAGCAGAGTAAGCAAGTTTGATTACAAAAGAAGAGATAGCAGTTAGTCTTAAGATCTACTATCTTGCTAAAACAGCAAATTTTACAAGACCAATCAATTTAACAACATCTTCAATGTCTGGGAAAGGGGCTGGAGAGATGGCTTAGAGGTTAAGAGCACTTGCACCTCTTCCAAAGGTCCTGAGTTCAATTCCCAGAACCCACATGGTGGCTCACAGCCATATATAATGGGATCTGTAGGCATGCATGCAGACAGAGCACTCATACATTAAAAAAAAAAAAAAGTGGTTAACTTAAATGTCTGGGAGAAAAGGGAAGTGGGCTGTTAGGGAATAACCTGCTTGGGGTATAGCTGGGCTTTCTTTGTGGACTTTTATTAAGTATGAAAGTTTGACCTTAGCTTAGGCTTGTTCCCAACTAGCTGTCATGACTTAAATTAACCCATGTAATTACTACATTCTGCCACGTGGCTCATTATCTCTCCTCTCTACTATACATCTCACTTCCTCTGTATCTCACTGGCAAATCCCACTCTGCCAAGTGTTAGCTAGCTGTTGGCTGTTCAACTCTTTATTAAAGCAATCAGAAGGTGCCTTTGTACACCATTTTCACGGTGTACAAAAATACTATCCCACAACAAGAGGCTTACATGTTAGAGGCATTTTTTGCTTTTTGTTCTCTTAAGTCTAAACTTTAAATGTAATGTTAACCATCACATTATAGTTATTCCTATAGAATTCAATAATTCTTTAACGTTTATTGTAATATCAGTTCATTCACATATGTAATAGTAAACTTAATTTAAAAATATTAGTATGCAGGCCAAGCCTAGTAGTCCCCGACTGTAACCCTAGCACTTGGGAGAAGTGTCTAGAGGATTTCCTAACGTTTGTTGAATCTTCCCCTGCAAAATTAAAGCTCAGAATTGTAAGGGGAAGGTAAAAAAGCAAGATAAAAATCCCCCTACAATTTCCAGCAAGATAGCCTTTTGTTATATTTTGCTTTTTTTTTTTTTGACAAGGTCAGACAACTGGATTCAGCATTAGAAATCTGTAAGGAAGAACTTGCTTTGCATTTGAATCAGTTGGAAGGAAATAAGGAAAAATTTGAAAAACAACTGAAGAAAAAGTCTGAAGAGGTAAATTATTCTTTTGTTTTGTTTTGTTTTTTTTCTTTTTGTTTTTTGAGAAAGGGTTTCTCTGGTAGCTTTAGAACCTGTCCTGGAACTTTCTCCGTAGACCAGGCTGGACTCAAACTCACAGAGGTCCACCTGCCTCTGCCTCCCCAGTGCTGGGATTAAAGTCATGTGCCACCACTGCCCAGTGGTAAATTATTCTTTTATTGAGCAAAATTGTCAAGTTTTTTTTTGTTTTTTTTTTTTGTTTTTTTTACTTTGTGACAGTATTCTCAGTATACTTTTTGTTTGGGTTTTTTAAAGACAAGATTGGTCTAGGGTATCCAAGGCTAATTTCAGACTCTCTATGTAACTGATGGTCTAGAACTTATGATCTTCCTGCTTCTACTTATCAAGTGCCAAGATTACAGGTGTGTACAACCATACCTGGTTTCTGTGGTGCTGGTGACGGGACCCAAGACATGCTAGGTTTCAAGTTACTTTTCTACTACTGTGGTAAGACCCTATGACCAAGGCTGCTTAATGAAGAAAGAAGTTATTTGGGGCTTCTATTTTCCAAGCTGAGTCCTTGACCAGCATGGGGCATGGCATAGTAGCAGGAGCTTAGAGCTCACTTCTTGAGACCCAGCCCTGAGGCAGAGAGTTCACTGGGTATGGCTGAGTCTTTTCCAACTTCAAAGTTACCCTCAGTGACACACCTCCTCTTAACAATGTCACACCTCCTAATCTTTCCCAAACAAGTTCCACCCACTGGGGACAAAGTATCCAAATATATGAATGAGCCTACCGGGGCCATTCTCATTCAAACCACCACACAAGGCAGACTCTGCCAACTGAGTTATATCCATGCTTTAAATAGATATCTTTGTGTGTGTGTGTGTGTGTGTGTGTGTGTGTGTGTGTGTGTGTGTGTGACATTAAGTGTAATTTTGTTTGTTTTTTGAGTCACAGTTTTTGTCTAACAGTATAGGCTGTCCTCTAACTCACTTTATAGACCAGTTTAGCCTATAAATATGTGACATTAAAAACAAATATTAGCCGGGTGGTGGTGCACACCTTTAATCCCGGCACTTGGGAGGCAGAGGCAGGGGGTGAGTTCAAGACCAGCCTGGTCTACAAGAGCTACTTCCAGGACAGCCTCCAATGCCACAGAGAAACCCTGTCTCGAAAAACCAAAAAAATAAAATAAAATAAAAACAAATTCTAAATTATATATCTTTAAAGAACAGACTTTATTTCAGTTTAGCATAAAATATATCTTACAATTCAAATTCACTTTTTTTTATGGAATCAGAATAGTAAGTTACAATTATTACATAGTAATTTTAATGTAAAATGAATAATATTTAAAGCATTGTTTTAGACATAGGAGTATAAAATTCTTCAAAACTTTTTTTTTGTTGTTGTTGTTGTTGGTGGTGGTGGTGGTGGTGGTGGTAGTGTTTTTTTGAAACAGGATTTCTCAATGTAGTCCTAACTGTCCTGAAATTCATTCCATAGACCAGGCTGGCCTTGAACACAGAGATCTGCCTACCTTTACCTAGTGCTGGCAAACTTTAAAATTTTGTTTTTGTTTCCTTTTGCTTGAAGGGTTAAGAATCAGCTTTAGAAAGTGGACATGGTGGTGCACATATAATCCAGTCCTTGGGTGACTGACTCAGGAGGATTGTGAGTTTTAGGCAAACCTGAGCCACCTAGTTTTAAACCATTCATGGCCACATAGTGAGATACTATTTTTTTTTTAAATAAGCTTAGCAACTAAACTTTATTGAGATAAATTTTTCAGACTAAAGACCTTTCTTGAAAGGCTGAAGAGATGGCTCAGCAGGAAAAGACACTTGCCCAAACCCGATGATGACGTATGTGCTATTCCTAGAACCCACATGGTGGAAGGAGAGAACTGACTTCTCCAGGTTGTCCTCTTACCTCTACATCTACACATGAAACAAAAATTAAGACTTTCATTAAGAGTTGCCCTATCGGGGGCTGGAGAGATGGCTCAGTGGTTAAGAGCACTGGCTGTTCTTCCAGAGGACCTGGGTTCAATTCCCAGCACCCACATGGCAGCTCACAACTGTCTGAAATTCCAGTTCCAGAAGATCTAACACCTTCACACCAATGCACATAAAATAAATTTAAATAAACTAGTTAAAAAAAAAAAAAGAGTTGTCCTATCATCTCCATAACCTCAGCATCCATCCACATTGACAGGCATGGCCTTGCTATGTAGCTCTAGCCACTTCTAATTCATAATTCTCCTGCCTCAGCCTCCTCAGGGTGGGGTTTTAGGTGTACACATTCATACCTATCTTAAAGATGTCTTTAGACGAACCCTGATGGCGCACACCTTTAACCCCAGCCCTCAGGAGGAAGAGGCAGGTGGATCTCTGTGAGTTCTAGGCCAGCCTGGTCTACAGAGTAAATTCCAGGCTAGAGAAACCCTGTCTCGAAAAACAAAAAACAAACAAAAATACCTAACAAACAAACAAACAAACAAACAAAAGTTACGTTTTAAATGAATTTCGGAGACCAGCATACTAAGACCTTAAATATTTATAGTGAAGTTTCATTGTTATAGTTATTTCTTTATGTGTTAGAATTTAAATATTCTGGATTGATTTGCTGCAATGTTATTTTATAAATTACTGTCATATTAACACTGTAGAATGATAAATATTACCTGATTTTATTATGTAGGATTTTGGTTTTATATTTGTAAAGGGAAAAGTTCTTCAGCTGAAGTATAGATTAGTCTAGGGCTACCTCTATCTATCCCTTTCTGGGATGGGTTGCATAGAGCAAGCAGTCTCCTTCCTCAAACAGTAAAATGTGAGATGATGTTTAGTCTTTGTCCCTAGCAGAAGCTGTTTATGAGTTCATAGTAAAAGGTCATGTAAGAGTAGTTAGTTGACCAGCTGAGTTAGGTTTTCTATTGCTGTGAAGAGACACCATGACCATGACAACTCTTATAAAGGGGGAAACTTTTAATTGTGGTGGTGAAGGCAAGGATGTAATTATATCACTAGTCTCAAGATAAATGATAAATGGGTGTTTATTGGGGAACAATTACACAGAAAAATACAAAGAACCGCTGGAGACTTTCCCTGCTCTCCCTGCTGGATCCACTGACCCAACAGAAAATGCTCGAAAAGGAAAGCCTCGCCTCAAGCTCCTCTCCTCCCGCTTCTGTCCACCTGAAGCCACACCCAAAGGGGTGTGGCCATCATCACAGGTCCACAGATGAGATGCCTACAGGGTGACTGGCTTACATTTCAGAGGTTCAGTCCATTACCATCATGGTGGTACATGGCAGAGTACACAGACATGTTGCTTTAGCTAAGAGTCCTTCCTATATCTTGCAGGCAACAGGAAGTGATCTGTGACACTGATCAAAGCTCAAGCAAAAGAGACCTCAAAGCCCCGCCCCCACAGTGACACATTTCCTTCAAGGCCACACCTCCCAAAAGTACCACTCCCTGTGAGCTTATAGGGGTCAATTATATTCAAAGTACCACATCAGCCCATAAGTATAAAAATGCTGGCCTTCTCAGAAAGGAATGTGTTTCAGAATCCTGGCCAGCAAAAACAATGTATTGCTTAAGAACATTTCAAAATCATGCCAAACAAGAGCAAACCCTATAAGCATCTTCCTGTATTCATAACTCTTTATAGGAATAACCCTATAGTTATCTACCCAGTCAGAATAATGAATCATGCCCTTCTTTCTCCATGACCAACTATGCTACATGAAATGTGGGATAATTAAGGAATGCAGCTTTTACGTTGGTTGTGTTTTATGAAACATTTCATTGTAATAAGGAATATATATCTTTGCTAGGTATATTGTTTGCAGAAAGAACTAAAGATAAAGAATCATAGTCTTCAAGAGACTAGTGAGCAAAATGCTATTCTACAGCATACTCTTCAGCAGCAGCAACAGATGTTACAGCAAGAGACAATTAGAAATGGAGAGCTAGAAGGTATCCAGAATAAACTTGAAAAACAGGTATACATTATTGACTAAAAATAGTTTTATTTTTATGAAATAGAATTTAAAAATCATTTGCAGATTTTTGATTAAGAAAATGTAATCAGACCTAAGTCTTTTGCCACGATGGTAATATTTCTCATGCCACAAAATGTTATTATAATTTAGACTTCTTGACTAAATTTTCTTTCTTGAATCTAAATTTAATGCCTATCTGAATTATTATGTCTTCTGATGTCTCCTTTTTGTTTTCTTTTTGGTTTTGGGTTTTTTTGTTTTGTTTTGTTTTGTTTTTTTGTTTTTTTTCAAGACAGGGTTTCTCTGTGTAGCTTTTGGAGCCTATCCTGGCACTTGCTCAGGAGACCAGGCTGGCCTCAAACTCACAGAGATCTGCCTGCCTCTGCCTCCCGAGTGCTGGGATTAAAGGCATGTGCCACCAATGCCTGGCTGATGTCTCCTTTTTGAATAAAACATGTGGTAGGGCATTCTTTAAAGAATTGGAGAAACAATACAATAAAAGAAGAATTCCTTTTCCCCCAAAATAGAATTGCTACTGAGCTACACAAGTAAGTTATGATTGTGGGGTTATAGCCTGTGGTGCAGTGCTCGTACAGCATTTACAAGACTATGGGTTCTCTCTATAAGACAACAAAGATTTGTTATATAAAATAAAGATGTTATCATTTCACTGAAAGAATCATAGACAGTTTCATACTAGAGACTAATCTTTTTTGTTTGTTTGTTTGTTTTTGGAGACAGGGTTTCTGTCTCTAAAACAGGGTCTTTTCTGTCTCCAAGAGAGGGTTTCTGTATATATACACACATACATACATCTGAATTCATCCTCCTTTTTTTGACATGAAAAGAAAGAACTTTTCAAATTGAGATAATAAAAAGGGAAAATTTTACTATTTTGTATATTTCTTTACCTTCCCTGTTTCTTTTCCTTCTTTTTTCTTTATTGTTGTGCTGATGAATTAATTCAGGTTCTCTCATCTGTGGCAGGCAAGCACTCAGTTTCACCTGGGCTTGTTTAATTCTTATTGTTCTCACTTTACTTTTAAGATGTGCTTGCTTCTATAAAAACACTAAGTTATATGTGAATAACTTATCTCTATTATTAAAAAGTTAGTTTTACTTTTATGGTTTCAAAGTGTCCTGGTTTATATTTTGATTATACTGTTATTATTAAATTTAACTTTTGAAATGGGGTCTTTCTATGTTGCCTAGACTGGTGTTGAGTTCCTAGGCTCAGGCAATCTTCTTGCCTCTCTGCCTTTCCACTATTTAAGACTATAGTTAAATTCAACCACACCAAGCCTACTTTGATTTTTAGAATACATCTTGAAACTGAATGATATGTTAGACTATATATTTATGAAAGTAGTTTTCTTCTGTATAATGTTGAAGTGTAATTGAATTTCAGCACTTACCTGAAAACTGCCTTACCAGGTATCAAAGCAGGAACAAGAGCTTCAGAAACAAAGGGAAATCTCAGCAGAGAAGTTGAGAATAATGGAAGAGAAATATGAAACAGCCATACATGATGCAGATTTGAAAAGGCAAAAAATTATCGAACTTACTGGTACTGCCAGGTAAAATTTGAATGTAATAGTTTTATTAGCCTTTTCAGTTTTGTATCAGTAATTTTTGAGTTTTAGAGTTTTTCCTCACACAATACCTAACAATACACATAATCCAGTGAGGTATTGTGTGAGGAATTAATTTCATCATAACCTATGTTCCTGTAGCATTTTATTCTGTCTCCCTCATAGCCTTCGGTATATCTTTTTTTTATATTATAGTACAGTACTTTTGCTTTCTTACCTTTAAATAAGGACCCTATTTAGCTTATTTTAGGGTTCCCCACAACATTTGGTGCTGTTAGATTTTTGTTTAAATTAAAGATAAAGAAGAGGAGGAAAGCGCAAGATGAGACCAGGATGAGACATATTACCCAGTTTATTATAGGCCTGGCAGAGTAGGGAGAAGAGGAACAGGGTAAATGGCTGACTGCCATGGCCGGTCGCCATAGAGAGAGAGAGAAGGTTGGAGAAGAGAAGAGCAGAGAGAAAAGAGCAGAGAGAGAGTAAATGAGAAGGGGTCTGTCTTTTAAAGGGGTCCTCTGCACCTGTGTGCAGACTTAGTTCCCATGGAACCCTGGGCTGACCAGGGTACTGCCTGTTCCGCCAGGTAACAGGGGCAGGCTAGCATAATGCCTGAAGCTTTCAGGTACAACTAGCACAAATCCTTATACTTTATAGGCACTCAGTAACTGCTGCATTAAATTACAAATAACTCTCAGGGGACCTGACCTAACTGGTATTTTGTTTGTTTTTGTTTTTAATTTTTTTCAAGACAGGTTTTTTCTGTGTAATCCTGGCTATCCTGGAACTCTCTCTGTAGACCAGGCTGGCCTCAAACTCAAATCTGCCTGCCTCTGCCTCTGCCTCTGCCTCCCAAGTGCTGGGATTAAAGGTGTGTGCTACCACTGCCTGGCCAGGAGACCTATTTTTTTTTTTTTTTTTTAGGTTATAGCAATTTACTTCACATAAGAACAGTATATTTTAGGCCTATGATTTTCATTGAATATCAACAGAAATAATCTGTACAGAAAACCTAAAGGCAATCATATAGCATAGCATGTATAATGTGCAAATATACTTTAAAATGTAATTGTTGTGTATGTAGCACTTGCAAGGTAGAACTGCATAGCAATTCTAGTTAACCTAGTAATTGTTTGCATGTAGTCAATGCAAATGTCCAAGGCACAAGTCAGAGTTGGTACACAAGTATGTGACACACACCCCCAGATCATTTATTTGAAGACCTTAAAATAACATAATGCTACATTTAATGAGACATCAGTTTATCTCTAAAGCTTCATGAAATACCGCACTGATAATGTTTGTGTGGCTAAGACAAACTTCTCCCTGAACTTAAAAGTGAAGACAAGGTTCTCCATATCCTGTATGTATGTGTATATATATATATATACACACACACACCCACATCATACACAGGAAACATCCTAAAGTCCAAAGGGAAGCCATTTTCTTATTATTAAAGGTTCCCATTACAGTATTTTATGATAATTCTTTAAAAATGTATACTTCTTTGCCACCTCTTTTGGGCAATCTTGGCTACAAAAAGACACTGAAGTAGACAACTTTCTTCTTCAAGGTGAAGATGATGACTAACTTAGAAAGTCTCTTGCACAGTGAAAGGTGTCATGTGGTTATAAAAGCCTACTGCCTTTTGAGGAATCACTTTAATCCACTGCAAAGTCAACAGTAGCACTGGCTGTGGCACAATCCCCCAAATTCATCACAGTGTTCTGCGCTTTAACACCCATCCCTGAGAATAAAGATTCTCATTTTTAATTTTTAATAAAGTAATAGCTTTACATTGATAAGAATGCTTAAATATTTTTTCAAGATATTTATATCCCATTAACTTTAGCCCTATTTCAATTTCCTTAAAAAAAAAAAAAAAAAAAAAGGGACGAAGGAAAGAAAAGCCATTGCTCTTTGAAAGCACGCTCCTGATAACACTAAATGCTGCATATCAAGCTCAAGGCTCTCCTCACTGTTTCAGTTCTCTGCTGTTTTTTATACCATTGCTCACTTCCTTACCATTTTACAATTTTTGTTAATTAGAGAATTTAACAGGTAGTATAGGAAAAGTACAACACAAACTTAAAGGAACACTGAAGTGAGATCTATGTTTTCCTGTGTAAAAGAGTTTTACTGGAAATAATCTGAATGTCATCCAAGAATACCTACAAAAGAGAAGAAATGCAGTGTGAACATGTTCTTGCTGTCTTTGCCAAAGTCCTCTGTAAACTTCTTCAACTTCAACAAATCATGTTCATTGACGGTTGGCTCGGTGCTGGTCAGTGACTGCAGCATATCCCACATGGAAAGGACTGGTTCCAAGAGTTTATCTCCAGGGACATCCATCCATGTCATTTCCACAGCCCCGGGATCTCCTGAAGAGCAGAGGGTCAGCAGATCATTTACAATGCTGTTCGGATCAGATCTTGAGGGTCCACGAACCTTTTTGAAATGAGTAGCTGACTGAACTTTTCAAACAGGCTGCATAAGTGCATCTCGTACAATGATACTTATATCTGCTCCTGAATAGCCGTCTGTCTTCCTCCCAAGTTCTTGAAAGTCTGCTTCTGAGTGCTGCCCAAGTGCAGTTTAAACATGGCTGCACGGGCATGTGCTTCAGGCCAAGGGATATAAATATGTTTCTCAAATCTTCATCTAATTGCAGATTCCAGAACCCAGGTTATATTTGTAGCTCCCAGAACCAAAATACCATCATTGTCCACACCAACTCCTTGCATTTGAACCAGGAATTTGGTCTTAATTCTCCATGCAGCTTCACTTTGATTTTCACTTCTGGAACCGCACAAAGAGTCAATCTCATCAATGAAGATAATGGAAGACTTGTTCTCTCTGGCAAGCTGGAATAAGTCCTTAACCAGTTTTTCACTTTCTCCCAGCCACTTAGAAACAAGGTCAGAGGAAGATATAGAGAAAACTGTTGAGTTGTTTGCTTCTGTTGCAACAGCTTTGGCTAAATATGACTTTCCTGTTCCTGCTGGCCCAAATAATAGGATTCCTCTCCAAGGTGTCCTCTTCCCTGTAAACAGATGAGGAAATTTAATAGGCAGAATCACAGCTTCTTTAAGTGCTTCTTTGGCTCCTTCAAGACCAGCAACATCACTCTACTTCACATTTGGTCGCTCTATAATAATGGCACCTTGAAGTTGATTCTGTAGTTTCTTTTTTTCAGGGTCATCAGATTCTGCTTCCCCATCACTGTCATCCCCTTCTCATCAACTGCACTGGACTGTTCCTCGTTCACGGGCTTCTGTGGCTTCTTCTCCTTTTTCTTCAGATACTCCTTCAGTTTTTCTGCTCTATCAAGCAAGGTATTCTGTACACTTGGCCCTTGCTTGGCTTTATCACCTTGTGTTTCATACTTAACGACATGGAGAAAATACTGAACAGCATGTTGGTAGAGTTGAAGGGCTTCCTCATAGTTCCCAGCTTTGTCTTCCTGCGCTGCTTTGCTTGCAAGATCTATTGCTTTCTGGAGGTTGTTGCTCGTGGACGCCATGGTGGAGATCCGAGGCAGCTCCCTGCTGAGGAACGCAGAGTGAGGACTGCAGCAGCAGCAGCAGCCCTGTCAAGTCGCACACGGGCCACAGCCGCAGGCCTCAGGGTGCAGGTGGCGGAGACCCCGAGCAGCAGCAGCAGCCTCGGCTCTAGAGTAGGAACTCCCTCAGCTGCCGACCCTCGTCACCGAGACCTAATTTTATGTGAGATAAATAAAATAGTTGTCAGCCTTGACTGTACATTCAAAATCATCTCAGTGAATCTGTAAGCTGAAACAGATATTAAGCGTATCTAAATTCTACTTTGTTAATAAGAAGTGACATAATTCTACCCCTTTTACAAACCAGTAGCAGTCAAGTGTGAACTTATATTCTGAAACTAAAACCTATGTCCACAGACTTCCTTTCTTGTTGACAATGATTAAGTATTAAGATAGGGACTCTGGGCTTAGAGTAGTACTTGCTTGAAGGTGTACTGTCAACAGTGCCAGTAACATATTTTTCCTTCAAGATTTCTCTTTCCTGGATCTGGAAAGTTGGCTTAGCAGTTAAGAGCACTGACTGCTCTTCCAGAGGTCCTGAGTTCAATTCCCAGCAACCACATGATGGCTCACAACCACCTTGAATGAGATCTGGTGCCCTCTGCTGGCATGCAGGCAGAAGACATGATAAATAAATAAAATCGTAATATGAAAATATATATATATATATATATATATATATAT